GCCCTAAAAAGCAAAATTGGCCAAATGCAAAAGGAAGTCCAAAAGCTTACTGAAGAAAATACTTTATTAAAAATTACAATAGAGCATTTGGAAGTTAGTGACTTTATGAGAAATCAAGACACTGTAAAACAAATCCGAAAGAATGAAAAATTAGAAAACAATGTGAAATATCTCATTGGAAAAACAACTGACCTGGAAAACAGATCCAGGAGAGAGAATTTAAAAATTATTGGACTACCTGAAAGCCGTGATCAAAAAAAAGAGCCTAGACATCATCTTTCAAGAAATTATCAAGGAAAACTGCCCTGATTTTAGAACCAGAGGGCAAAATAGAAATTGAAAGAATCTACCAATCACTTCCCAAAAGAGATCCTCAAAAGAAAACTCCTAGGAATATTATAGTGAAATTCCAGAGTTCCCAGGTCAAGGAGAAAATATTGCAAGCAGCCAGAATTCTAGAAACAATTCAAGTATTGTAGAAACACAATCAGGATAACACAAGATTTAGCAGCTTCTACATTTAGGGACTAGAGGGCTTGGAATATAATATTCTGGAGGTCAAAGGAGATAGGATTACAGCCAAGAATCACCTACCCAGCAAAACTGAGTATAACCCTTCAGGGGAAAAAATGAACATTCAGTGAAATAGAGGACTTTCAAGCATTCTTGATGAAAAAATCAGAGCTGAATAGAAAATTTGACTTTCAAATACAAGACTCAAAAGAAGCATGAAAAGGTAAACAGGAAAGAGAAATCATAAGAGACTTATTAAAGTTGAACTGTTTACATTCCTACGTGGAAAGATGATATTTGTAACTCATGAGACCTTTGTCAGTATTAGGGTAGTTTGAAAAAAAAATTATATGTATGTATAGATAGAGGGCACAGGGTGAGTTGAAGATGAAGGGGGTGATATCTAAAAAATAAAATTAAGTGGTGAGTGAGGATTGTACTGGGAGGAGAAAGGGAGAGGTAGAATGGGGTAAATTATCTCACATAAAAGAGGAAAGAAAAAGCTTTTACCATGGAGGGAGTCAAAGGAAAGAATAGAATAAATGGAGGGCAGGATAGGATGAAGGGAAATATAGTTAGTTTTTCACAACATGACTACTATGGAAGTGTTTTGCATGACTGTACATATATAACCTGTATCAAGTTGCTTGCCTTCTCAATGAGGGTAGGGGAGGAGGGAGGGAGGGAGGGAGAAAATTTGGAAACCAAAGTTTTAAAAGCAAATGTTAAAAATTGTTTTCACATGCAACTGGGAAATAAAATATGCAGGCAATGGGGTATAGAAATCTACCCTGCCCTTCAGGATAAGAGAAGGGCTGGTGATAGAAGGGAGGGCAGATTAGGGGAAGGAATATTGCATGCCATCTTGATGTGGGAGGAGGGGCGAGGTGGGGAGAAAATTTGGAACTCAGTCTTGTGGAAGTGAATGTTGAAAACTAAATATAAATTAAAAAAAAGAAAGAAAGAAATTGAACAAGCCATTGATAAACTCCCTAGGAAAAAAACATCTCCAGGGCCAGATGGATTTACAAGAGAATTCTATCAGACATTTAAAGAACAATTAATTCCAATACTATATAGACTATTTGGGAAAATAGGCAAAGAAGGAGTCTTACCAAGTTCTTTTTATGATACAAATATGGTGCTAATACCTCAACCAGGAAGAGTCAAAACAGAGAAAGAAAATTTTAGACCAATTTCCCTAATGAATATAGATGCAAAAATGTTAACTAAAATATTAGCAAATAGATTACAGCAACTTATGACAACAATAACACACTATGACCAGGTAGGATTTATACCAGGAATGCAGGGCTGGTTCAATATTAGGAAAACTATCAGCATAATTGATCATATCAACAACAAAACTAACAGAAACCACATGATCATCTCCATAGATGCAGAAAAAGCTTTTGACAAAATACAACACCCATTCCTATTAAAAACGCCAGAGGGCATTGGAATAAATTGAGTCTTCCTTAAAATAATAAGTGGTGTCTACCTAAAATCTTCAGCAAGTATCATATGTAATGAAGATAAGCTAGAAGCATTTCCAACTTTAAAAAAAAAATCAAAGCAATCAGATCTTTTTTTTTCTTTAATTGTTCAAATACTTCTGATTTTTTAAGAAGGGAAGAAATAGTTTTTAAGTATTAAAATTCTAAAGTTCAACTATCTGATCACGGAATAGAGAATATAACTTCTAGTTGTATGGGGTGGGTCACAGGTGTAGACAGCCCAAGGCATGGCTGTGGTCCCTGGTGACCTGTGAGCTTCAGGCCATTTTCTTTCTTACCAGATATCTAAATTGTGGCCTGTCGTTAGGCCACTGAGAAAGCTGGAAAAGCTTGATTTTCTTTGCTCCTATATGTGGAAGTAGAAAGAGGTACCGGGATTCTGAAAGAAGTGCTGGATTTGGAGTAAAACTGGGGGCCATCCCCATCCTTGCCAAGGAGCTTAAACCACTTCTGCCTCAGTTTCCTTATCTAATTATTAAAACAACAATAAAAAAAAACCTCTGGATTTTCAGGATCAAATGAGATAATTCTATAAGTGCTAGTAAACTACACTGTAAGCACTATGTACAGGTCAAGTGTGCTATCTTATTTCTTATTTGTTTAAAGCCACATTTTACATGTGAAAATCAAATAAGCAAAAATGTTTCAAGTAGAATATCTAGGATTCAGCTCATTTTGAAGTTAAGTCTATTGGTTTCAGTGATACTATATTTGGTCCTCTAAGTACAGCATGCCCAAAATGTAACTGTGATTAAACCATTGAATTAGAAGATGGTCCATCTCTCACTGATTTCACAAGTGTCTGCTTCACTTAGCTTTGGCAAGAATGATTTTTTAGCTTTCTGGTGAAGCTGCAGAATTAATCTGAAAATGACAAAAATAAATTTTTGGTTTTAAAAAGATAGTGGATTTATTTAAGTCAAATCCATTCCAGTTTCATGTATGTTATTCTAATTCTGAAGAACTGCTGAACTCTGAAGATAAAAACATTTCTAGTTTGTTTTTGTTTCATAAGAAGGATTGTTTTTATTATTATAGAAGATAAAAGAAAACTGAATTTCTTTATATACAGGTCAAATTCAACATGTCCTAAACAAAATTAATTATCTTTCCCCAAAAACTCATCCTTCTTCCAGACTTATCGATTTCTTCCAAGAGTACCACGATCCTTCCAATTTCCCATTTTCACAGCCTCTGTGTTAACCTTTGGTTCAATTCTTTCACAAATATCCAGACCCATAGATCCATGATACCCATCCATACCCAAGTCTGACCCCTTGAATGGGACCCATTGAAGTGGGAACAGCTTGATACCCTTTGCCAGCAAGAAGCAGTTTCAGGAGACTTTCACTCCTTACTCCAAAAGATTTTGGGTCCCATTCATTTGAAGGGGAATGATGGGGTAAAGGGACCTGGAGCCCTAAAAGGAAAAGACCATGTCTTTGAAAGCAATCCAGTGCCTGAATTTTCCCATACATTTCAGCAGCCTCACTCAAGGCACTTGGCCCACCCCAGCCCACCTAGATCATCTAACCTCTTACTTGATATTCCTTTCACTGTCTCACCTGGCCTACTCCAGACTACTTATCATTTCTTAATCCCATCCTGATCCTTTCACTTATCCCTGTTGTATATAAGCATCAATCTTACCCTTATTAAGTTGCAGGTTCACTAGGGACCCTGTCCTCTTCTATTGGTGTTGCTATAAACCTTGCCACTTGACTAGAAGAAAATTTGAGTGTGAGAATTCATTCCAGGCAGACTCCACACTATTCCTTGATATTTTGGGGTTCCCAGCAGCCCCAAACCTCATCATCACTACTTGTACAATCACAACTTTAGTCCATGTCCTCATTACCTCTCCCCTGGACTATTGCAGTGGCCTACTAATTCTCCCTGTTGAGGTTTAGGGATGCTGGGACCCCGAAATAACAACATGCAGGTCCTGCTCGAATGAATTCAACCCAAGCCTTCTTTCAGCCAAAGATAAGATTTATTAAAGATCCGCCATATTGGCCAGACTCTTAAGGAATCTAAGCATTTGTGATGCTCACTCGAATTGACAAGCAGACTAGATTGAATCTGAGCCATTGGCTAGATTGAATCTGAGCACCTTAATGAGACAAGATGGATCTTATATACAGAAAGACTGTGGGAAAGAACTGGGAGTGGCCAAGTAGTCTGAGCTGACTGTGAAGAGGGGTCTAGGGAGGCTCTTGATGGGAGTGGTCAGTGGGCTGGGGTGACTGGAGGTCGAAGGAGGTCTAAGGCCATGGACATGGACCAAATGGCCAAGGGAGAACCCAGTCTGGATAGGATTAAGGGTGAGAAGTGGCCCGGGTGATCCCTAGGTAATAGACAATGAAGGGCTGGGCTAGGTTAAGGGTAATAGAGAATTGGTGACAGTGAAAGGCCAGTTGATAGATTATAGGCTCAGGCTAACCATAGAGACTTAATTGATCAAGTGGGAAAGTTCAAGGTGGGGGTTTCCAGGGCCTGTACCCCGTCATCCCCACTCTGGTATATCCTCCACACGGCAGCCACAATGATTTTCCTTAAGCATAGGTCCAGGGATCCCCTGTTCCTAATCAGCAAACTCCATTGGTTCCCTTTTTCCTTTAGGATCAAATATAAACACCTCTTTGACTTTTAAAACCTATATAAAAAGACCCTAACCTACATTTCTAGCCTCATTACACATTACCCTGCTTCGTGCAGTCTTTCAACTAGCTAGACGGCCTTCTAGCTGTTTCTCACCCTTAATACTCCAGCTCCATTTGTGTACCTTTGCATTGGTCTTCCCTTATGTCTCCTAACCTGTAAGCCCATTGAGGTACCTGGACTTTCATTTTTGTTTTTCTATCCCCGTCCTCTTGCACTGTGCCTGGCACATATCAGGGGCTTAATAAATGCTGCTTGATTGATTGATTGATTCCGTATAGGTAACTTTTATGTATGTGTACTTCACAGAAACGCCACATGCGAATGAAACATCACTCTTACTGGATTTTGAATTGCATTCATCATGGGACAGCAAATTTCTGATCAGACGCAAATGGTGATAAACAAGTTGCCTGAAAAAGTGACCAAACACATCTCTCTGTTTCGAGAAAGTGGTTCGCTTACCTATGAGGAATTTCTGGGGAGAGTAGCTGAACTGAATGATGTGTAAGATTCAATTTTTTTTTTCATTTTGTTTTCCTCTTAGTGTTTATGCTCCCATGTAATGGCTATATGATAGATGGTCTAAGATACTCTTTTCTGAAGACCAAAAGCATTGTTTAATCACAACATATTTTTAATCTCTATTAATTAGTAAATGTGATGTAATATGCAAAACACTCTACATAGTCATGTAAGAAAAACTCAGTGAGATCTGGGAAAGCTGTGGCATGTAGGGGAAAGGGCATTGATAATAATTTAGAGCTAGAATGGATTGTAGAGGTGAGTTGGAGTCCAAACTCTGACTTGAGGCCCAGAGGGGTTGTGGGATTTGTCCTGAGATCACACAGTCCATCAGTGGGAGCACTAGGCTTCCCTTTGCCTCCATGTCTGGTACGCTGCCCAGCATTGGGCTAGGGTCCCTGGGACACGGGGGAGCACTTCAGCTCCTGGGCCTTGGCTTTTTCTGCTGGGAAACCAGGGTTTGGGGTTAGGTGAGCTCCAATGGCTCTTCTGGCTCCAGATCCTATGAACTAAAGTTCATTAGATGACATAGGAGATGCTGCCTCAACTCACAAAGAACTTGAAGAAATTGAGATGACCATGTATATATGAATAGATTGAGAAGATTTTATATGCTAGCATATCAACAAATGCAAATTAATATTAACGTAAATTGCCTTGTATCGGTTGAGTTTCTTAATTAAGAGTTTCCCTATTCCAATTAAATCATAAGTCTGATTTTAAAAATAAAGAGTAAACTTAGCATTGAATACAAGTGCCAAAGGGGTAGCAGCCAATTAGTGCACTGACCTCAAAGCCCACAGTGAGGCCTCTGCATTAACCAACTCAGTTGGTTCCCCATCCGTATACAGTTGTCTGCTGTCTTGTTACTTCGTAGATGTGCTTTAAGAAATATCACTGAGGGGCAGTGAGGTGGCAGAGTGGATAGAGCACTGACCTTGGAGTCAGGAGGACCTGAATTCAGTTCAGCCTCAGACACTTAACACTAGCTGTATGACTGTGGGCAAGCCCTGATTGCCTCACCAAAAAAAAAACCAAAACAATAAAATAAGACCTGATGTCATAATTTCCATATAATTTTTTTCAGTTAACCTAAATTTGTCCTTTTAAACACCAAATCGTTTTTGGATAGAAAATCTTCCCAAAATAAATAATATTGTTCTATGCTTTTTAAAGGAAAATATACTGAACATTGTATTAGATTATAAAAACTAGGTGTTATAATTATGAATATCAAATATGTTGACCCTTACGAGCTATTGAGGTTTTTAGGACTATTTATCTATGTGCTAGATGACCCTTGACTGAGTTATACCATTCTCCTCTCTTCTCTGGCACATGGGTGCTGTCAGCTGACAGATATTGCTGTAATTGTTCCTTGTGTGTGCCTTTACCAGAACCTGACTTTTAAATTTGCTATATCTCATCCACTATGACACAGAAAGATAGCTAAGTTTCTTAGAATTGTGCCTAAAATGGAGAGGTGATCTGGGGCCCTCTCCAATGAGTCAAGTTTGGGATTAACATCACTTTTGAGTGCTTAAAATCCCCCCTTCTCCACCTTTCTGTATAGTTGAGGTTGCCAGATAGTGAATTCCTTTGCAAATACTAATAATTTTGTAGGCATATTTATCAGGCATAAAGAAAGAGTACTTTAGAAATCAAACTCTCTAAGGAGATACTTTTAAGTCCTGAAGGCCTTTAAGGTAATGGATTTTTAGTCTGTCCAGAGTAGTAGTAATTACAGCACTTCACATAGTTTGGGAATTTTCCATGAATTGGAATGTCTTCTTATCTATAGTGCATAAAGAAAAGTGCTGCTCCCCCCCACCCAGTGTTTTTACTGCTCGCTGAAAGTAATCAGTTATAGGTGCAGTCTTTTAGAACCTTAGAAGGTATATATGTAAATCCCTTCCAGTGTATAAAAAACCTGGCCCTTGGGGCACAAAGAAAAAAAAAGATAAAATGAGTTGTGTTTAGTCTTCTGAAACTGTTCATCAGCTGAACTTACTGCTTGTGATGTGGATGACATCTGCTGAGAAGTGACTTGGTTTCCTGGAGCAGTGGAGAGCTGGTCACACAAAGCCCATTTCCTTGGGACTCTGTTGTTTCACCAGTCCAAGGTTGTCTGAGGACTGACTGTAAGGTTAAACCAATGGAGGCAACTCTAGCTGGCTGCCAGGCCTGCCTTCTTTTCCACCGACAGACTGTGTTACCTGGACCTGGCTCCTTACTTTTGATGGCCTCATTTCCCTTGGCTGTGAGATACTTAGTGCCACAGACTGTGTGATGCCTAGAGATTGCTAATTAGTCATGATGAAGCGTACATGGAATTATGGCCGGCCTTACTGGGTATTTCTGTTTGGTAGTAAATACTTTTTAGGTCAAGACTTGTCATTTCAGTTGGTGCTAAAGGCATATTCAGCTACATCATCAAAGTTTTCTACTTTCGCTTCTCGCTCAAGGGCAGCCTGTTATAGTGGATGGACAATTGGCCTCAAAGCCAAAGAGACTCAGGTTCAAGTTCCAGCTGGAACCCATACTGGCTGTATGACCTTGGGCAAATCACATAACCTCTCAGTGCTCTAGGAAGTTTTTTAAGATCATAAGTTGCTGGCTTGTGTTAGTAGTTTGCTTATCTGAGAATTTTATATACCAGGGATATCACAGCTCCTGTCCATATCTCATCCCCTATGTTCATGTTCAAGTACCACAACCAGCAGAGATGGGTATATTTTTAAAAGGCTGTTCCAAGTTACTTTGTTTTGCTGCTTCTAACCTCTAGTTAGGATATAAATGAACTGAAAAAACGCAAGGCGTGTCTTGGTTCCTGCTCTGCTGTTTAAATAAGGATGTAATGAAGTCAGAGGTTTGGGTTGGATTTGGTCTTTTGTTTTTTGGTTTGGTTTTTTTTTTTTTTTTTTTGGCTTTGTTGGAAACATTGCTAGGGGCTGGGGACAGGAAGTACATTTTTTCAACTGAAAGCAGTGTACACAACTTGGGGACATGAGTAGTTAAACTTTTTTGTTATTTTCAGAAGTAGTGTTTGAACTTCTTGAGCTTTTAAATAGCTGTTGATGATTTTTAAAGTGTAGGTGTGACCTCCACTGCTCAGTGAGCGCCAGTGGCTGCCTGTTTTCTCAGGATCTGAGATAAGGTCCTCCCCTTCCTACCTTTCTAGTCTTCACACTTGATTCTCCCCTGCATGCTTTGTGATCCTGCTGCACTAGTCTTTTTGCAGGGCCTTCCATGCTACCGTCATCTCCCCTCCTTGTGCCTTTGCACTGGCTGTCCCCTTTGCCTGAGTTCCTCTGTCCCCTTGCCCCTACTTCAGGGTTTCCATGGCTTCTTTCATGATTCAGTTCAAAGCCCGCCTTTCGCAGGAGGCCTCAGTCCTGCAAAGAACCTGCAAAGTTTTGCAGCTGGTCCCCCCCAGCTGATTGTGTCTTCCTTTCTAGTTAGCCGGTAATGTATCTGGTTACTTTCATGCTGCCTCCTCCATGAGAATGTGCCCTCTTTGAGGGCAAGCAGCTCACCTCCCTTTATCTCCCCAGCACTTAGCACAGTGCCTAACTTATAGCACACACTCAATAAGTGCTTATTAATGAACTGATGGATTTTAAAAAACAATCAGAGTTAGGTACAACTAAAAAGAATTTACAAACGCTTTTCTATTTTGCATTTTCACAGCAAAAGTCATTCTTTTTCAGAACTGCAAAAGTGGCTTCTGGCCAAGAAAAGCACCTTCTGTTTGAGGTACACCCAGGATCGGATTCCTCTGCCTTTTGGAAGGTGCTTGTTCGAGTGGTGTGTACCAAGGTGAGAGTAACAGACATTCCCATCACATTAACTTTAAAGCAGACTTACAGAGTTCAGTTTTGGCCACTAATAAGACCATTGCAGTTCATTATTTGGGCATTTTTCATACTGCACCAATAAAACTTGCTTCAATGCCTTGGCGGTACGTTGATTGTCCTTCCATAGTAATTTAGGCTCATTGTGATATTGCTGTAGTAGGTAACAATCTGACCCTAAAACTTTACTTAGACTAAATTTGAGTCATTGTCCACCTCCTCCTGTTTAGTAGTTCTCACTTGCCTTCACAAGGAATCTGTGCCAAAAAGGACTCTTTAATCCCATCATTTGTAGAAAAATCTAGGCAGCCTAATTATCCTTTGCAGGAAGGTTAGATTGGGAGGTTTTCTCTCAAAGATGGATTCTAGTGAACATTCAAACAGCGTGCCATATATTTTTTAATATGTTGGTCCCTGTAAAAGTTTAAATGCAAGAAAGTTGATTTTGGTAACTTAATCAGAATTAAAAAGCTTTATCCAGTTCCCTATTTCAGCCTCAATAATAATAAACTTTAGAAAAGATCTCAAAGGACAAAGACAAAGGAGTGGTCGTGATTCCTAACTTGGGCAGATGCCCGTATCTAGGAGCCCTATTCATTCCTAACTGACGAAGATGAAATCTCAGTTGCAACTGTCGGAAGTTTATTTGTCATCTTGACAGAACTGTCGCCATGATGTCTGTTGAGGAGCCGCTGACCCTTGCAACGCTGGGTTCACAATGTCATCGCTGCTTACAATTATAGTAGGGAATATGCAAAACACAATTAAATGCCATTCAGTTGAATTTGTCCACGTGGAAAATTGAATTAGCTGATGAGGAAAGTCCAGCATTTTGAGGAGAAACATGCTGACTGACAGTCAGTATTATTATTTATCATTGTTTATCAGCCCAAGAACCATTATGACTTCATGGAATATGAGGATGTTACAAGTCCTGGTAACAGACATACTAACAGGACTCAAATAAAATAGCTTACAGGCTTATCCCAGATCATATTATTGTGTCACTAATATTTTACACCAACTATTTTTTCCCATTTTTTGGTCTCTCTGATGGATTTAGGTCTTGACATTATTAATTCATAAAGGATTCATGATTTATGTGTAGCATCCAGAAAAATTATGGCCGTTTCTGGCCATTGTGGGTATTTTTTGCAAAGAAATGAGACAGAGAAGACATCACTCTAAAAATACACTTAAGGCCGACATACAGCTCTCCTTCTCCAGAGAACTTTTACTCCGCATTCAAGACTTGTTGAGAGTCTTTTTGGAAGCGTATAGAGGTGAATTCTTATGACACTGTAATGCTAGTCTCTAAGGTGGGAGTTATTCTGTTATTCATTTCATACATTCCTTCATTCTGCGTTATATGGGGTGTTCAGGGAGGACTAGGTCCTCTGACATGAGGGCTTGCCGAGCCCTCTTCAGGGCTGCTCAGCCATCTTTGGTGTCCACCTGGCATTCACCTGTGGCTCCAGGAAGCTGTAGCCTGTGCAGTGGCTATACCATGTGGTTGAGGATAACTGACAGGCCTCAAATTTGTCCATGAATTGGGGGGGGTGTCTACCCAAGCAAGTGAAGACTTCCCCTGCAGAATGAGTGAGTAAGAACAGTTTGTTCCAACAGCCATGAAGGGAGATGAAGCAAGCACTGTGGAGTGTTTAGAGCTTGGTCAGCCATAGAAAAGGCCACAATCGTGCACTGTGTCCTGGGTCATCACCGGTAATCCTGACTTTTTGTCTTGCCCCTGGACTCTGATGACTTTGGAAGAGAGAGTGAGGCTAACAACTTTGTGCAACTCTGCCTCACGTAAATCCAGTTCATAGGCAAGTCCAGATATCACCCTGTGATGTCACTGGGCCTCTTTGAAAATGAAGGACAAACAACAACTTTCACTCTAAGCAATTGAATTAGGGTGAAGTCTGCCTGCAGTTTTCTCCGTTTGTGCTGTCTAAAATTCCTTTCCTTTCTTGATTTTATTTCTACCAAAGTGAGGGGGGCAAATGCCAATTTGTGATCTCAGAATGTTCACAGAGTGAAATTTCTATAGCTTGAGTCCACTGATTTTTCAGTATATGCTTCTCTTTAGCAAATATTAAGCATAATATTAAAGCATATGCTCTTAAAGTAGATCTTGGGTTTTAAATATAGGCAGCCACTTTCTTTTGACCCTGTATCGCTTATCAGTACATCTTTTCTGCAGTTAGTCAAAAGTTGGTCCTTAAAGATACATGAGTAGTGAAGAAAACTGGCAGTCGGGTCTAGTCTGGCCTTCATTTGAGTCATTCTGTTGATTTCAGAGATTTCTGAGGCCCTTCCTTGTGTTCCCAAATCAGGTAGAATGGATGAGAACTCACAACTTTTGTATTAAAACTGGGGTTCTTAACCTGTATTGTGTCATGGACCTTTTTGGCAGTTTGGAAAACCTGTAAACCCCTTCTCAGTATTACGCTTTTAAATGCATAAACTAAAATACATAGGATTACAAAGGAAACCAATTATATTAAAATTCAGGGTTTTTTTTTAAAATATTTTTTTAAAAGGTCATGCACCCTCGTTAAGATTCCTTGATCTAACGAATACCCCTTGCAGAAGAGGAAACTGAGACCCAGAGAGAGGAAGTTACTTGCCCATAGTGACACGTGCTGAGATTGATTGTTTACATGGTCTTTGTGCTTTTAGATTAACAAAAGCAGTGGAATTGTAGAAGCATCAAGAATCATGAATTTGTATCAGTTTATCCAGCTTTATAAAGATATCACAAGTCAAGCAGCAGGGGTGCTGGCACAAGGCGCTACTACTTCCGAAGGAACTGCCGAAAGCTTGCCATCTGTGTCTTCCTGTCAGGCCAGCATTTGGATGGGAAGGTACTTTCCTGCCTCGTGGCACGTTGGGAAGGGGATAAATCTCTGAAAGACTGAAAAAGATCTTTTTTCCACTGTGGACGCTCCTCACGTACTCGGTGTTGTTTTACCTTACATCTGTTCATTCAGCAGGCATGTTTGCCAGGTACTGTTAGGTGCTGCCGATAACAAGAAAAAATCAAATCGTTCCTGCAGCGAAGGAGGTGACAGTGTTCTTTCTGTTGTTGCTCCTCCCATATTGGCAGGATATTCTGAACTAAAAGTTAGAACATGTGATCTGACAATGTGTCTTCGTTTTTATAAAACCTTCTCCCGGTCTGCAGTGTGCAGTCTCCATGAAAATAGCCCTAGTCAGTGTGTAGATGTTCTTTGTCCCGCTCAGGGCACCTCTGGCACAGGCTTTTCGGTTCTGGGTGCCATGTTTTGGGAAGGACTTTGACAAACTGGAACATGTGTGAAGGAGGGCAGTCAGAAGGGTAAGAAGACTGTGGGACACAGCCCAGTCTGGATGGAGAAACCAGGGATGATGTAGGAGGGCCATGAAGCCTCTCCACCTAATTGAAGGATGTTCTTGTGCCAGAGAATCCCCTTGTTCTGCCTGGCCCCAACGCACAGAACCAAGAGGAGCAGGGGAAGTTGCAGGGGTACCTGCTGCTTGGTGTGAGGCCACATTTAGACTTGGAAGCCTTCCAAGAACCAGGAAGGAGCAGGTTCACTGCTGAGCTGTGAGTGGGACTAGATGACCCTTTCACCTTGTAGGACTGATAGGAAAAGCCCTTCAGGAAGTTACATAATAAATGACAAACTGGAGCATTTTAAGGTTTTGTCTCATTTGGTCCCCACAACAAGCCTGGGAGGTAGGTGCTATTATTATCCCCATTTTACAGAAGAGGAAACTGAGGCTTAGAGAGGTTAAGTGACTTGTCCAGGGTCACACAGCTAAGTGTCTGAGGCTGGACTTGAACGCAGGCCTTCCAGTCTCCAAGTCTGGCACTCTTCATTGCTGCCTTTAATATAGCCAAAGTACCAACAGCAAGAGCATCTTCACTGATCCCAAGGGGTCCTTGGATCAGGCTTTAAAGGAGGCTGTCAGAGGATATACCTAATTGTAGGACAGTGTTTAGAAATTCTCATGGAAATGACTCCCTAGTCAGGGCACCGAGTTGCATTGACTCCATTCCTGGGGAAATAGAATCCGCTCCAGTTAGTTTGGGCTTGTACGTATGCAGGCCTGGTCTAGAAAGGCTCATAGAGGGCAGGGACTGTTTCATTTCTCTCTTTGGCCCCACAGCCCAGCTGAGAGCCGGACCTGTTGAAGGTGCTGAATAAGTACTTGGGGACTCAGATCACTGGTATCATCATGGAGAGATGGTTACTTTTTTAAAGCTTTCTTTGCCTTCTGTCTTATGCTTTTACCCAGGAAAAGTCTCCCCAGGTTGCCATTTGACAGCTTTCCAAACTTCAATTTGCAAATGCCTGGAAAATGACTTATGTAGTCTCAGACCCACTGAGATCCTGCCTTATTGTTGCCCAGAGGATATTGAAAGAAGTCACTGCCCACAGGGCCTCTTTCTGCAAAGTTTAGTTAACATTTCTCCTCTCATGGCTTCATTTTAGAGTCGTTTATAGGCCTATTCCTTGACCTCCTTATTTTCAAATAATGCATTGTAGGGAAATGTGAACTGGGAGGCTGTGAGTAGCATAGAATGTTTCCCTAAAGCGAGTTCTCATTCATCACATCCTGTTTACATTACAGAGGCTCACTTAGCGTTCAGGTTTGGGCTGTATTAGCATTACTGCAATGCCAGATGCATTTTAAAAACATGGCAGGTGGTGTTTAGGAAGGGCCTTATCTTTCTGGCATTTTAAAAGGGTCATTATGTCAAAGACAGGTGTCTGCTATGAACTGTGTGTGAATATTTGTATTTAGTTTTTTTCTCCATTTATAATTTTTCTTGTGATCATCTTACTAAAAGGGAAGTGGGTGGGGTGGGAAGAAGAGTGCCTTTCTTAGTAATAGATGAGTACTTGTGACTACCTAGAGATATCATTCAGTAAGCTCATATTATACACCTACTATGTTCCAGGCAGTAGACTGGGTGCCAAGGAGTCAGAGACAAAAGAAAAATTGATGTAAGACAACATTTGGGGGAAAAACTAATGCAAGAAACATAGGAACCAGAGGGCCTAAAGTCTTCATGCAGAAGATGGCGCTTGGTCTGAGTCTTGGAGGAAACCGGGGGTCCAGCAGGGGAGGAGCCGAGGGAGTATATTCCAAGTGAGAGGAATAGGGGACCCCAGTGCAGAGGCCAAGATGCAGGAGGTGGAGGGTTGTATGAGAAACTGCAAGTTTCTCAAGCAAACAAGCCAGTTTGGCTGAGCCCTAGTGTTTGTGAAGAAGTGTCATGGGGAGGTAGAAAGAGGCCAGGTGGTGAAAATTTAAAGCCAGAGTTTATATTTGATCCTAGAGGTAATAGGAAGCCACCGGAATTTACTGAGTCAGGTGGAGAAGAGGGGTCACATGACCAGGCCATTCATCCATGGGGAGAGACTGGAGGCAGGGAGGCCAATTTAGAGGCTAGTGCAGTGGTGCGGGCAAAAGGCAATGAAGGACTGAGCTAGGGTAATGGTTGTGGGTGTGGAGAGAGGTGTTGGGGAGGTAGAAAGGTCAAGGTTTGGAAACTGATGAGGGTCAAGGATGTCCTTTAGATAAGGAACCACAGAAAGCAAATTTGGAAAGGGTGGGTTTTGTAGCAGAGGTAATCTGTTCTGCCCCCTGACCTCAGCCTTCCATCTTGAGAAACAGCACTTCCTTTTGACCTCTATTTCTTAGGATTCCTAGCTTCCTTCTAGACTCTGCTCTGGCCCCAGTTCCTCTGCAAAGCCTTTCCTTATCTCTCCATTTTGGTTGAACTCTCCTGCAGATCTTTTGAGTTTACTTATCTATGTCTGTGTCATATCCCTGCCTCTGTAGAAAGTAGACTCCGACTGCAGTCTGTGGGATTTTTTTCCTTTGTATCAGTCAGTTAACAAACATTTATTAAATGGCTATGATGTGGGAAGCAAATCCCAAGAATGAAAGAAATTGTCCCTCTTCTCCAGGAGCTTTCTTATCCCAGTGTTTGTTGAAATTTGATCTTTGATCAGTTGGTTATAATCTAACTCTTCTGTCTCATACCTGAAGGTCTAGAATTCCCAAAAAAACTAGGCCTTGAGACCTGAAACCAACACTTGAAATAATACAATAACATTGGTCTCAAATTTTGGTGGGACGTGAAAGTGAAAATATTTTCTTCTTGTCTCCTGTCCTGGTGGGGGTGAGGCAGAGACTGAATAAACTGATTGGGAAATAATTTGATGGGTTTTTCCTCATCACTACACAAATGTCTAAGAAATCAACCTTTTTAGTATTTATCCAAGGTACCAACATCAAAATATGCATGTCTGATTTTGCAGATGACCAGCTTTGTGTAGTCTGCCAGTAGGCAGGTAACGGATGCTTTAGATAACGATGTAAATAGTCTTAAGTTTGACACACAACCAGAGTCGAGCACATCCTTGTGCCAACAGCTCTTTGTCCGTGTTCCAGAGTGAAGCAGCTGACTGATGAGGAGGAATGTTGTATTTGCATGGATGGGCGAGCCGACCTCATTCTGCCCTGTGCCCACAGCTTTTGTCAGAAGTGCATTGATAAATGGTAAGAGATTAGCATGACTGTTAGAGTTATTGTGACCACTAAATGAAACAATAGATGGGAAAACGCTGTGTTCATTTAAAGGAGTTACTGAGATGGGTCAGAGATTGTTAGAAGCCTTAGGGACGATCTAAAAACTGTCAGTTTTATAAATAAGGAATAACAGAAAGAGGGGTGGGGAGAGGTTGCCAGAGCCCCAGAGTAGAAGAAGACAAGGAACTTTGTTAATGAATATTTTGGACCTAAACTTCCCTTCTTAATTTTGAAATTATTTCTCTTTCTGGTAAGGAAAGAGGCCTTCGTATTTGATCCATATTTAGAGCCAGAGCACCTCTCCACCCCACCCCCAAACTTTCTGACTTCCATTTGAGAAGGGTGGGTGGTGTCTCAGAGGATCTCTGAAGTGAAAGTGAGAAGATCAGGATCCTCTCCCCACCTGTGCAACTTAACAGTCCCGTGGCCTCCTGCAAGTCCCTCAGTTTAATTTTGCCATCTGCAAAATGAACAAGTCCTTTCCAGCTCCAAAGTTCTTTGCTTCTATATACTTCACTCATAGATCAAAGGTTTCTCAGGCTTAAGTGTGGATTTCTTCTGGGGACCCGGAAGATTTGATATTAAAGAAAGGAGTGACTATTTGAAGTGTATTTGTTGTTCAGTCTTTTTTTCTTGTTTACTTCTCCTGCAGGAGTGATCGACACAGAAACTGTCCTATCTGCCGCCTGCAGATGAGTGGGGTCAATGATTCTTGGGTTGTGTCTGATGCACCTACAGAAGATGACATGGCTAACTATATACTTAACATGGCTGATGAGGCAGGCCAGCCTCACATCCCATGAAACTGGGGCCTTTTCTTGGTACCTTGGGCTGTAAATCCCATTTGGGGTTGGAGTAGAGTACAGGGGCATCAATGTCACGAACGCATGGAAATCGATTCCTCCCTTCACCCCATCTCTATTTTTGCCACTCTTTCCCACAATTTATTCCATCCCTTTTGATAAAATTCATGAATCTTTGTCTTGTTTTAATCGAAATCTAAATTACTGTTTTAAATCTTTGTATATGAGCCAGTCTTCTGTAGGAGGTATCCCAGTAGGTCCGTGGTGTTCACTGAGAATGCTTTGGCTGCTAGTTAGAGAAGCATTGTTTGGAGAAACTTCTGAACACTGGGTTAGGGATGGGCGTGTTAGGTTCTGATCAGTCCTGAGCGTTCAGTAGTCATAGCTTTCTGACACACAAACTGAACCCGATTTAAAACAACTGAAAGGAGAAAATAAATCCAAGTGCTCATTACTACTAAGCTAGTCATTTTACTGGAATTTAAGGGGTTGTTATTGCCCCCTGCTGGTTGATTGTGACACCATTAATGATGTCTGCATGAAGTAACCACAAATGCTTCCTAATCGAGCAGTTTGTGATTCAGAGATAATAGATGATGAAACCTACATATTTCAGAGGGAATAAGAAATCTAGAGCTTCTGAAATTATTTTTGCTGACAAATATTTGAGGGAGAACTCATTGTGGGCTGCTTGGCGGTTTCTAACATTCCCTTGTGCAAAATCCTGGGGTTTGATAGGGACATTTTTCTTAATAGAAAAGCTCCAGATTCTATATTTTCAAACTGTGCATACTGGAAGCAAATCTCTACTAAATGATAAATTACTCAGTATTGACCATGGTGCTTTTTAGTTTCATGATTTGGTAGCATCTTCCTGAGATTTCAGAATGCTCGCACTTGGAGGTTAAAAGGACAAGAAACCACTGGTCCTCCCATAAGTGTAGGACCTTCCTGAAACAGAGAGGAAGTTCAGACTGCTAGGAACGAAATATTCAGACACGAAGGAGTAAGAATACAGTCCTAGGCAGTGTCCTAATAGCATTTCAGCCTCCTTTGTGAAAGAGGAAAATGTTCACAAAGAAAAGCTTTGGTTTATCTTGACTCTTAACATTCAGCACTCATGAAATAGTTTAATTTAAAAACAAATGTATTGAACCCTCCAAGGAAGCCATTCTGACCTGTTTAGTTAAAGTTGCAAACATACAAATTACCGTAAGCACTGAGGCAGATGATTTATGTTGCTATTTCAGGAAGTGGCTACAGGATTGCATGTATAAATAGAAGATTCTTCAATTTTTTAGCAAGTGTGCAAATAAAATTAATGATCCATTCATAGAAAAAAACTTGTTCCTTTCTTATTGGTATTATTCTCCCCTCAGATGTAGGGAAAGGGTCTGGGGAGTGGCTTATACAGATTCTGTCCCTTTTCAGATTTGTGATTCAGTTACTAGCTGATGAATGTTTTAGTGGGCTGAGTGTCCTAGGGCCAAATCTGGATTTGTTTTCTGAATTTGACTTATAGAGGTGGTCTTTGTAAGACTAATTCGAGCTACTTTTTAATAGTCACATATATGTATACTCTATAATACTTTGGCCTTGCTTAAAAATAGAATTGCCAAGAAAACCAAATAGTTTGCTCTCTCAGTTTTAAAATGAACCGTAGAAAACACATTCAGCAGTGGTGCCTGGACTTTATTTGGATTTCAGTGGCACCCACTGAGTATGTCTAGAAGTGAGTGCCTGACTTGAGAAATTGTATTCTTAAGCAGGCTCTGGTTCTAGGGCATTCACATCTTCAAACATACTTTTCTAATTGTGAAATGCCTCCTTTTCCCACTCCTGTTTTTTTCTTGTAATTCCATTAAAGGCCAGGACATTTATGTTTGGAATACGTGAAAGGGGCTACAGTTGTAAGGATGAGGGTCATAATGAGAACCACAGCCATAGAGCGGGGATGAAATCTGCACAGGTTTGCAGGCCCCACTCCCCAACTCCTTAAATAAACTTCCTTGTGTCTTACTTGGCAGTGAGTGTAGGCAATAACAATAACCAATCTAGCGTTTTCAGTTTTCAAAGCACTCTGTATACATTATCTCATTAAAACCTCACAACAGCCCTGCCAAGGTAGCTCCTCTAGTTTCCCTTATTTTACAGGTGGGTACACTGAGGTTCAGAGAGGGGAAATAATTTGCCCATGCTAACACAGCTAGTGTCGAGACAGGATTTGAGTCAAGGTCTTCCTGAATCCATCAGCAGGACTCTCCACAGTATCACACTGAGACCATCCCCTCAGCAGAAGCACTTTCTTAGGCTGACTTTCACTGTGCCATCTCTGCAGGCTGGCCTTATACCATTTTCTTCTACATATATTTTCTCTTTCAGGGAGTTAATGACCAGCCGAGAGCACTGAGGAGATCTGATATTAACAAAACCTCTCCCGTTTTGCAAAATGTGTTCCACTCTAAACACTGACTGCTATGCAGGATCATCATGTATTTTCACTAACCTCATCAAAATAAATGGGAAACTGACAACCCCATTTCTTTGCTGACTCTACTAAGCCTTGCAATTTTTCCTTTGCATGTGAATGAAATGCAGTTTCTACTGTAGGATAAGTTGTAATTTTGCTTAAAGGTGAGGATGTAAACTTTTTTTTAGCTTATACTCTTAAATCTTTTGTAATTAGAAAGTACTAAAATGCACTTGCTGTGCCAGGAGGTAGGGACTGTGGTGTAACTTGTGCCTTCTCGAGCTGGTGATATCTCTCATGCACTCACTGTAACGGACAGGTTGTTAATTGACAAAATGTTCTTTTCTTAAATGCACTAAAAAGGTCCCGCAATCTATTGATAACTATACAATTTTAATGTGCTAGGATGAGTTTGAATATGAGCTGCTTGCTGTTAAAATAGCAGTGCTTCCTTAGTGAAATGACTTTCTCAAGCTTCTCAAAAGGAAAGTCACATCTGACTTTGCAACTGGGACAGATGGATAAATTGTGCAATAAATAATTTTTTGTGGAGAGGAAAAGACAGCTATTGACAATTGTTTTTTTCATACGATTGTGTGGTTTACTGTTGTTATTATGTATTGTAATTGGTTGGATCTGTGGATTAACCATAAATTGATATTCCTTAGAGGGCTGTTACTTACATACTGTACATTGGACTCTAGTGGTATTTCTGACTGATTTGTGACCTTTTCTCCCTACTGTTTTAAAAAAAATCAATTAAAATTCACTTTAGCTGGTTATTGGAACCAGTCCTCCCCGTGCCCAGGGTGCTTGGGGTGATAAGTAAGGTACTGACAGCAGGTGGTGAACCAGCTGCTGCGTACTGCCCTAGTCCCTATTGGAAGTAGTTCCAAGTGGTGTTGGTGAATAATTGGAGTGCTGGGGAGATCAGGCTTGTTTCAAACAATTCAAGTTCCCATTTTGATTTTCTTAAATAAGCCACATTTACTATATTTACCAAAGAATTGAGAGAAAACCATTTAAAAGATAGGGAGAATTAGCTAACCATCTGTATGGTGGGCATGGGAGCAGAGATGTCTGTGTGAATGAAAACACAAGGGCAATCTCTTGTGTAAGACTGTCTTTTTATCATTTGTGGAAAGTAGTAAAGATAACTGCTACACTATGCCTTGTGGTTGTGTTTGATTTGAGTACCTTGTATGTCTTTTCAGAATGACTAGGGACTAGGGTGAAAGCAAAGATTCACACTTTTTGATTGGGAAAGATTCAAGTATCTATGATTTGCTCAGCATAGTGAAACAAGGGCATGGGAATTCTGATCTTTTCCGATGACTCAGGTTAAGTCCTTGAGAGGTGCCTTTGAGGTAGGATCACATAGCTGACAAGGGTCAGAGGTTGGGTTCAAACTCGTGTCTTTCACAAGTCAGAAAAACCCATTGTCTGTGGAGACTCAGCTTTGCTGTGGTCTCTTAAGTTGTAACGCTAGGTGTGTGGAGAGCCTTGCCATGGAGCAGCACGTGGTATTTTTGTAAAGAGCTGTAACTCAGATTGAAAACCATCGATTCAAAGCTGGAAGTCTTGATGGCCATTTCATCCAGGCAGGATCCCGCTGGAGGCCCTCTCCTGGCTTTTAGGGTATAACTCTTCCCCTGTTACAGCACTTACCCTGGGTGTTTCTAGAAAGGAAAAACAAAAACAGCAAAGAACCAGATTCCATGTAGTTAATATTCTTTTTAATGTAGTTACCACTGTCCTTTAAAACACTGTTCAAGTAGAGTGGGTCACTGACATTATCTAATTACCCTCAATTATGTCCGTGAAAAAGACAAAGACGATTTTACTCAAGCAGCAAGAAGTCAAAGACAAGACCAGTCCAGAAGAACGTGCCTTGCAGCTGTATCTCCAGAAGCAGAAGGAAAAAGGCAGAAAGAACAGTGGATGACTCAGGAGGCTGTGAATTGTGTTCGTAAGGCAATAATTTGTAGCAAAAAGGAAAGTGTGTTACGAAGGCTGGTTAGGTTGAGGGAAAGAAGATAAATCTCCAGAGCTGTCTTTGAGAAGGCCACCCCTAGGAAAAGCAGCATGTTACTGTGCTACCAACCCAGCAGACAGATTTGGCCGTCACCAGAACAAAGACTGGTGAATGCCACTGGACAGAAAGAAACACATTGGTACCAAGAACATTCAGGAGTGAAGAAGGGCTGTGTAAATCTAGAACAGCCCCTGCCCAGCAATCAAATCTGCAAATGAAAGGAGTCCACCCCAGGCATATTTGAGCCAAGCACAGAGGAAAGGAAGAGAAAGCAGCTAGCCACTTCCAGCAGAAGCACTCTGGGTGTTCTGTGTGCAGCGCTATGACCCTGGTGAAAAACCAGACACTGGTGATTGCCTTTGGCTACTGGTGAAAACCCAGAAAGCCGCTGCCAGTGGGCCCTGTCCTCTGACCCTGCTTGCAGTGGCTATCTTCCAAGGTTAGGAAGATATACACCTGCTGTATTCCATTAATTTAGGGTAATGCTTCCCCTAGTCTTCCCTTCCCCACCCCCCCACTTTCTTAAGAAGAAAATAAGGGAGCTCTAACAACGTTGACATCTGAAAACATGTTCACACGATTGAGCAATTGTCTCAACAAACTTTGATTCCATTTCTTTTGAACAGGGTGCCTCTAAACATCTAAAATCACACTGTACAATAGTTATATACATTAGTGCAAATGCATACAATTGGGGCTTTTCTAGGAAAGTTACATGCCAAAGTGGGCGAGGAGTTTTGACTCGAGAAATTATTTTGCTGCAAAAACCAACAGCCCCCATGTTTCCACGGCTAGAGAAAGTAACAAGAAGGATCTGAAGTCTATTAACCATTTTTGCACACAATCAGGTTCCACCAAGTCTGCTTCTCCGGGTCTATGTGTACCTACAGAAATACATGGGAACTTAGCTCCAGCACTTTTCTAGTTACCATATGCACATGACATTCAAACTTTGGCAGGGAATAAATTGGGAGAGTTTAAATTCAGATCTCTATTTTAAGAATCACTTCACTGTCTTTTACTAGCCCATTTAATTGTCCCTCCTTGTCTAATTACTGAGGTCACCAGCTAAAGATCTCTGGTTATGTGGAAGGGAAATATATCCTATGTTGTTTAGGGAAATGATAAACCCAGGTCTTCATTCTTTAAAAAGAAAAAAAAAGGACGGGGGATCCTGGTTATTTCTGAGATGTGAATTACAGAATACGAAAGTAATACTGGAGAGTGGGGCAGTATATTGTAGAGGAAGGTCCCAATGCTGATTCACAAGTACTGTGTGACGTTGGCCAAGCCACTGCCTCTCCCTGACCTCCCAGGTTCCCTTTAGCTCCAGGGTTAGGTCCCCGTGTCTCCCTTTGTTTTCCTAAGTGGGACCGAGTTTTCTGTTTTAAGTCTCTCAGAGACTTTGGTGAAAAGGGGCTTTCAGAAAGCAAGCCCACATAATTCATGGAGGCAGTATGGTGTCCTACAAGGACTGTTTGTTGACTGGGCTCCATGTTATGACCTTCGGCAAGTCCTTACCTCCTCTAGTCCTCAGTTTCCTCATCTGTCAGATGAGAGGGTTGGACTGGATCATCCCTATGGCACATTCCTGTTCTATTCTGTGATCCTATGCATGAATGCTTATAATGGTGAAGGAAATCTGAACAAAAGTGATTAGTAAAAATACTTATTAGAAAATAAAGCAAAACTTAGTCAAAACTTAATGGATGTATCTTACTCCACCCGCCTTTTAGGGCTGGAGAGTTGATTGGCAATACAGTATGGCCTCTGACAGTGGAAAGTACAGCCCCTTTCATGCAAATTCTGGCAGTCTTCCTAGAAGGGTCTGGAAAACTAAGAAAAAAGTACAAACCAACCCAGCTCCCCAAGGCAGTCTCCAGGCCCCACTACACACACACAGTGCAATGTCTTGGCACCTTGGGGCCAGGTATGCCAGAATGAGGAGGATGGAGGTCAAAGTGAGAGGCCCCTGAGCAGGGTCCCGAGCCTTCACTTCCAGGGAGGCCCTGTTTGGTCCTGAGCAGGGTCCCCTTGACCAGCATCCAACACAACAGACAAGGTTGAGACCAGCATTTTCCAGGGGCATATCCCAACACTGAACCTACTTAAACAAAGCTGTAATCTCTTCTGATTTCATGGCATCTGACAGAAAGCTCAGCTCATTGCATAAGGTCTCATATCTAAAAGCCATCCGGATCTGGGCAACATTTGTCTTTCGAATATCGTTTCCTTCAGGTCCTTCTTTATAATAATTTGGCCCCAAAAATTTTTGCTTTTCCTGTGGACAAAGTAACACACACAGATTAAGCCCAAAGCACTTGCAAAGTCAATTCGATGAATGTCAAGTCCCCACTACCCTGTAAGACTGGGGCTGGGGATATAGAGACAAAGACAAAACCTGCCTCTAAACAGCTTAGAATCTACCTTCTTCTGGATCCTACGTGACTCAGATGTTAGTACATCCATTCTGGCATCAAAACCTAATGAAGTTTTGTACCATGCCCATTCCACCTGGCATTCAGGGCCACCAGACAGCCAAATATGGTGGATACAGATACATCGTGGAGGCAGCCTGAGCCGCAGCTATTCTGATAATGTTTATGGTGAACTAATCACTAATATTTCTATCCTGTTTTAAAGTTTGCAAAGTGTTTGATATATATTTTGTACATGTCATATCACCTTATTTATTAGACAATACAGTATGACAAATATCAAGCACCTACTATGTGCTAGGCACTGTACTAAGCACTGGGGATACAAATAAGAAAAAGCCAATCCCTACCCTCAAGGAGCTTATAATCTAACGGAGGAAGACAGTACACAAAAGGAAGCTGAAAAGGGTGAGGTTCTCTGGGGAAGGAGGTTCAGGGGGCATGATGATGATGGTGTAAAATAGGAAGGTCCTTGAGATCAGGAAGTGTCTTACTGACATTTTGTGCCTCCCCTATTATCCATCCCAATGCCTTTTACACAGGAGGCATTGAAAAGATTACTGTTAAAGGTAAACCTGGTCTGAAGAGACCCTGGTGGCAGAGACCTCAACTGAAAAGAAACATTTCAATCTGAACACTTGGGAGCTAAGGTGACAGGCAAGGGGCCACTACTGCAGATGGCATGAAGCTTCTATGCCTTCCTGAGAAACTCTGGGACTACTCAGTCCCAGAGATCAGCAGGCTGTATTTCCCCTGCCCCCCCAACCTAGCCAAAAAGACCTGGGGGAGCCCAGGCAGCTGACCAGCTTTATGACTTTGTAGCAAAAGGACTGCATATGGGGTCAGGAATACCTGGATCTAAATCCTGCCTGAGAAATCTAGCTCTGAGATTTTCAGAAAGTTATTTCATGTCTCTGAGCCCCATTTCCATCTGCAAAATGGACTGACTATCCCAGCACCTTTTGTGAGGCTCATGAATGTAAACCCCTCTGCAAGCTTGAACATGCTGTCTAAATGACAGATGTTATCATCTCCAGGCCATGGAGCATAAGCCCTCCACTCTTCCCTGCACTGCCTGGATCCACACTGAGCATTCCAAAGGGCTGGAAACTTTCCTGTGATTTTCCCTCCCAAGTGCCCTCACAGCCAGCAGACCCCACTCACCGTGTGGGACAGCCCACTCTGGAGCACACTGTTTCGAGCAATCTCACATAGGTCACATGTACTGAGCTTCCACACTTGGGCTGCGATTGCATATTCTTCCATTAGGGCTTCCTGTAGAAACACCCCACTGATCAATCCCCCAAGAAGAATCACATTTATTAGGCTGTGGAGCTTGTGGGAGAGCCCAAAGCCAAAACTCAAGTCAGAAACGTCCTAACAGCAAGGAGAATTTGCAGGGACCATTGAGGCTCCTGAAGAGAAACTGGGAAAGAAAGCCTTCTGGCTTCCAGACTCACAAAAGCCTTAATTCCATGGCTTCCTGAAATTCAATTAAATCCATCAAATATTTATTAGGCTCCTACAGTATGCCAGGTGAGAAGCAGGATGGTATAGTGGATACAGAGATGGCCTAGGAATCAGGAAGAAAGACCTGAGTTCAAGTCTCATTTCTGAGACGTCCTGGGCCTGAGGCAGCTTTCTAAAGCTTTATTTAAGCTCCAGAATAGTTGAGGATCGGCTTGGAGAGAGGGAGCTCTCTTGGCAACCAAACACTGTTCCCTGCTGAGTGTATAAAGATGCTTTTCTACTGGGGGTATGGAAGGGAGAGGCCTTAGGTTCAGGAATCACCAGCAACACGGCTTCCTACGTATGAGGCTTGGAATCCATTCCGTGCTGTCACAAGCAAGACAAAAACTGGCCTCCCAGATTATACCACTGGCCTAATAATTACCAAATCCAATGGCCTTTTCTCAATTCCGATCTTCCTTGATCTCCCCGAAGCACTTAGCGCTGCTGACCACCCTCTCCTCCTGAATATTCTGTCTTCCTCGGGTCCTCATCCCACTAATCACTGTTGGTTGCCTCTTCTTACTTGCCTTACCATGGGTGTCCTCCAAGGCCTGGCACATCGTAAGCATTTAAATGTTTGAGTAATGAATAAATAGTAAAGTTCACCTTCAATAGTCTAAGCTTTACTGTAGCTACTACTAGAAGGAGCTGGGACATTCTTGTGGTCCTGGGGTAGAGAGGGCACACACAGGCATTTACTTAGCATCTACTATGTGCCAGGCACTGTGCTAAGTAAGCACTTTACAAATATTATCTCAGTTGATCCTTATAGCAACCCTGAGAGGTAGAGACTATTATTCCCATTTTACAGCTGAAGAAACTGAAACTGAGAGAGGTTAAATGATTCACCCAGGTTCATCCAGCTAGGAAGCATCCCAAGCTATTTCTGAACTTGGGTCTTCCTGACTTCAGGTCCAGTGCTCTTTACCCACTGAATCACCTAGCTGCCTCACAGAGTGTCTCAATTCACTTTCACAGGCTTTCTTTCCCACAATTTCTCTTGTGAGTTGTCACTGCCTGGGTCTGGGGAATCTGTCCAGTGGTGAGAAGCCCCTCCCCAGTGCTCGCTCACCTTGGTATAATGGAACTGCATGGGGTCATCAGTGGAGAGGGAGACGTGGAGACCCTTGTGCAGAAACTCTCGCAGCGGGTTTTTGGAATATTCTAAGAACAAGCTGTTGTTACTCAGGGGAGACATGGCAATGGGGATCTGGGCGAGGTAATAGAGGTACTGCAAGACTGGACTCTGAGGAAAAACAGAAGAGGGATCTGTCATCATTACTCAAGGCAATTCCAGATAACAGGAAAAGAAGGATTTCGTCGGTGGAAACAAAGCCTCGGCTTGCTGTGTCTGTCCAGTGTTTGTTTTGAAAGGATGTGTGAGATCTCTGCCACGCCACAGCTAAGTGACTCTATGGGAACTGTGAGGCTCCAGCCTGGAGCCCTCCCTGCTGGGGGTCCTCTCAGGCCCCACCCTCCATGTGCCTGAATGTCTGGGTGAGCCTCCCTTCGACCACAGCACCTGCCGCCTGAACCAACAGAAAAACTTTCTCCCTTGGTTCCTGGGGATTTCCCAACTTGCTCTGGATGAGGCCCTTTTAACCTCTGTCCAAAGGCCACACATAATAAGAGGAAGCCCTCCCCAACTCCAGGCTCCCCAACAGGGGCCTTCATTGACTGCTGAGTTTTCCCAGTCCCAGCTCCAGGGGAGGAAGAGTTCAGTTCAAGGTCCCTGAAATATATCCCAGGAACACGGTCAGCCCCTGTGGCAGGATCAGCAGCCTTGGAAAGACCTCTTTCAGGGCCAGACTGGAATCCCAGGAGATTCCAGTTCAGTCGTCAAGGTGAAGGATCCCACTTAACCCCTATAAGGTCCTGGAATGCCACTGACCATCGTCCCTGAAGACCAGGTCCCTCGCACAGCTAAAGTCTGCTGAACCTCATGGAAAGTAAACAGACACAAGAAAAGATAAAGAGGAAAAATTCAGAGAAACTTGAGAAAACTTGCATAAACTGATGCAGAGCAGTTAGCAGATCCATAACACTGTCCATAGTAACCACAAGAAATGAAAACTCTGTGGAATGAGGCATACATTGCAAACATGACCTCTACATTTCTGTGTTTTGCTTAGTTGTATCTCTTTGTTACATGGGAGAGTTTGATTGGGGGTGAGAAGAGTAGTCATTGGGAAATCACGGCAATGTTTGCTTTTTTTTTAAGCATCAATATCATTTTTTTATTGTCCAAAAGAAAAAAATGGAAATTGTTGAGGCTGAGTTCCCATGGGGCCAGATCCATGCGTGGGCAAGGGTTGGGAGAAGAGTGAGAAATTTGAGTAACATGTACAAATGGCCCATGGATTATAGGATCTTAGATTTAGAGCTGAAAGGGATGTTACAGGTCATTGAATCCAACTCCCTTGCTTTACAGATGAGGAAACTGAGGTCCAGAGAGGTTAAGGGACTTGTCTAGCAGTCATATGTTTAGTTGGTGTTTGAGGCATCAATCAAACTCAGGTCTTCTTGATCCCAAGTCCAGCAATTTTATCCACTGTATCATATACAGACAAAGCCCCTTCCAAGGATGCCTACAACCACTAAACATGGACTAGTTCTGTCTTAGGATCCCAATTGGAGACATTCCTCAGGTTATCAGCACAGACTATCTCCCAGCAGTCCCTCTTAGACTAACCCCTACATGGAGTATCCCCCTTCTCACAAAGGTACAGGTGGGCTGTCAGGGTCTCCCAGACCTTCCCAATATCAATCCAAACTTTCCAAAGCTTCCAAGAAGAGTATAGCCAGGAGCTTCCAAAGGAACACAGCCAAGAAGCTCTAAGGAATGAAAAGGCAAGGTTGGCTTTCTCGCTGCTGACCTGCTTGGCATCAGCCAAGCACACAGGTACCTACCTTCTTGAGCAGCAGTCCGTGGGAGATATTGTCGGCAGTCAGGAAGGCAGATACCAGGTGAGTGATGGAACCAGCCTCCCCACAGTGTGGCCGGAACAAAAAGGTGCTCATTCCCCTCTCTCTGTGGGACAGAAGATGGGGCTAGGTCAGCAGGAGCTACCGAGGACCAGATGGCAATAGGGCCCGTCAGCTCCAGCTTTCTCAGTTACTCCCCATGTGGGAAATTGCCCCACCTTCAGGAATAGGAGGAGAGTGGGGGCCAGTCACTGAATCTCAGAGGGCATCTGGTCCACCTCATACCTGGAAACGAAGCTCCTGTACAGTGTTCTTAACAAGTGGTCCAAAAAAAAAAAGTGGTCCAGAAGAGTACATGTTTCTTCCAACAGAATATAAGCTCCTTGAGGGCAGGGGCTGTCTTTATTTTTGCCTATATTTTGTCTCCCTAGTGCACAGCACATGTTAAGGGCTCAAATTCTTGTTGCCCTGTCTGCCCTCTGTCCAGCACCCTGCAGACTAGCACTGATGTCTCTGAGATCTATCGCCAAGCCACCTCCTCTGCCATCAGCTCCAGCTCATCCTAACTCTTCTCATCTCCACTCAAGACCCTTCTCCTCCTACCCCCCACCCCCAAACCTTTGATCCTTTTGTGCCTTGCCTACATGCCCTCTCCCAGCTCTCCAAGGCCATCCCAGGCAGCAACAAAGGGGTGAACAGCAAGCAAGGTCCTGTGTCCTCTAGGAGCCTGGCTCAGGGCATCAAGAGATGTTGGGCTGGCCATGCCCCAGAGACCTGCTCTCAGCCCGTGTCATCCTTCCCCCCTGGTCTGCGAGGAGGAGGAGGTGCTGATAGTTTGGGGCTTAGCTCAGACATCCTCCACCCAATTAGGTCAGGGTGCTTCTCTTTGCCTGACTCGTCTGCAGATTTCCCACCAAGATGGAAAACAGGCCTCAAAGGTCTGTGCTTGGGCCATTTTGTTATCAAATATGCACAGTAATTAACTCAGAGAGCTCCTGTGGGAAGAGGCTGAACTTTTAGAGCCAACAGGGACCACCCACTGACTTCAGGGGAGCCAGGTATAGAGAAGAGAGGGAGGAAGGGAAAAAAGAAGAAAAAAATTGTTTTCATGAGGACCAGGTATGATGGAAGGAGAGAGGAAAGAATGAAAAGGAAGTATGTCTATGTCCTCCTCATCCTTAAAAAACCCCTTTGATCTGTCCATCCTTGCTAGCTGGTATCCTAGATGTCTCCTCTTTGAGAAAGCTCTGTATCATTGGTGCCTCCATTTCCTGGCCTCTCCCCCTCTTCTGAACCCTCTTCAGTCTGACTTCCAACTCATCATTCAACTGAAAGTGCTCTCTCCTAAATTAGCAAGGATTTCTTAATTGCCGTGGTTAGAGGTTCAACCCAGGAGCAAGGGGAGAGCAAGGTTAGGGATTAGGACTTGGAAATAACAGAAGGGAGAGTTCTAAGTGTTTAACTGTCTAGCAGCAGGCAAAGGTGAGCAAGGGGCTGGCGTGGGTCATGGGCAGGTATGTGGAGAGATTCGAATTAGGGTCTAGACCTGGGAGAGAAGGGTTAGGGTTAACTATGTGAGTAGAGGAGGATGGAAAGTAAACTGCTCATGAGCAGGGACTGTTAATGAACAGTGTGAATCATTTTTGTCTTTGTCTTAGAATACTTAGAATAGTGCCGGCACACAGGAGGCACTTTAATAAGCGCCTGTTGATTTTTGGAGAAAATGAAGGCCGGGAAGGGGGAGAAACAAGGTCAGTTAGGCCCAAGTTATGAGCAGGGGTGGGTGGAGGACAAAGTAAGGGGTTAGACCCAAGAGAGAACTGAGTCAGAGGACGAAGTTAAAGCTTAGGAAGGGAAGAAGAAAAACCAGGTCGGGGTAGGAAAGTGCAAAGAGTGATGGATTTGGAGTCAAAAGACTTGGGTCAAAGACCCAGCTCTCTCACTTGCTGGCTATGTGATTTTGGGTAAGCAATTCCACTCCCTGAGCCTCAGTTTCCTCATCTGTAAAATGAGGGAGTTGGAGTAGATGACCTGTAGGGTCCCCTCCAGTTCCAGCTCAACCACAGAGCTCAACCTTTGGCTGGGCCCTGGGCAGAGGCAGGCAGAGGGCTGGGGTTAGGTCAAGGGGCAATGCCTGGGCACCTACTTGCGAAGGTTGTTGAGCACCATGATGTTGGCGTACATGTAGTACAGGTAGTAGCTGTAGGGCGGGTTCTGCTCACTGGTCCAGATGTCTGGGTTAGGGCTCTTGTCGGAGAACATGTGGTCACTGTGTTTGGACTCATCGTCCACGCTGTCGAAGCCTGTCACCTAGTGGGGGAAAGAATAAACACCAAACACTGAGAAGGAAGAAGGAAACCCAGGACATGTCTCAGAGTCTGGACGCCCCCATGGTCCAACTTCCCAATCGGTGGTTTCCTCTGCTAAAGGGTTACCCCCAAACCCTCGGAGAAGCCCAAAAGGGCCACCGAAGCTGCAGAGCCAGGAGCCAGTGTTTGTTGGCATGGGCACTGGGGGCACACCCCTCCGTGTCTCTCTCTCTTTCTCTCTTCCTCTTCCTGTCTCTCCTGTGCCTCACTGTCCCACCTCTCTATCTCTGTCTCTCTTCCCTTTTCTACCTCCCTCCTCCACCCCACACACTTCTTCCTATCTTCATTTCTCTTTCTCTGTGTCCTACTCTCAAACCCATGACGGCAGCCATGATCTGACTGAAACATATTTGTAGCAGCCGTGTTTACTGAGTGACTTCTTTGTTGCTGGTGCTTAATTTAAAGTCATTGAGTTAGCATTTTCTATCTATAAGAAAGAAGAGGAACCCTGAGCTTTTTCAGGAAGGACCTCTGAGCAGACATTTTCCTGTGCATCAGTGGCCCTCTAGATGACAAAGTTCCGTATTCCTGCATCCTACCCCCTCCTCTTTCAGGCCAGCAGCCACGTAAGAGGGTCTGCAAACAAATGGAAGCCCAGTAAACACGTGTATTTCTCCCATGTGCCCACTAGGGGGCGACCATAGCACTAGCCAATTTTTCATCTTCCAGCCAAAGGGTCCAGAATGGAGCTGTTTTCTTTAGAGGAATGTGGGTCCTTCAGGGTTACCTCGGGGGCATGGACCACCCAGAATTCTGGGACATAGCAGCAAGCCAGAGCGGGGCGGGACTTTAAAGAGGACACTAGAGTGTGTGATAGCCACTAGCTTTATTCCTAGGTCTGGAAACCAAGTGTGGGCGAGAAGGGGAGTGACCTAGGAGGCAGTGTCAGGACCCCATGGAACCTGGAGCCCTGCAGCAGAATGCCCTGACTTACGTATTTGAGGAAGAGGTGAAGATCCTCGTGATCCCTGGGGTTGATCGTGGCTTCGAAAAGAGGCAAGAAGATGTTCTCCAGCATCTTCCCAAAGCTTGGAAGCAGCTTTTTGGATCTAAATATGTCACTGGGTGACAGAAAAAGACATGGTTCTGGACTCCGCTACCCACAGCCCTTTGCCTAGGGCCGACGCAAATGCCTGAGTAACCAACCAGCCACCTTCCCAGCAGCCAAGACTCACCTCACCTCCGTATGTGGGGTGGGAGCAACCTCAAGGCTCATCTAACCCAAGAATGAGAATCCCTTCTAGAATATTCCCTGGCCAGTGGTTATCCTCCCCAGGAAGGGGAGTGATTGGTGTGATTGGTAAGAAGGTTTTCCCACCACCAACCTTAATTCTTACCCTCTACAACTTTCCATTTGTGTATCTGTCTCCAGCACCTAGGACAGTGATGGGCATATATTAAGGGCTTAAAATGCTTGTTGATTGGTTGAAGTCTATTAAAGAAAAATTCCTTTCTATGTGTGGAGACCTCCCCAGGAATCAAGATGAGGACACTCCTGGCAGCCTCATTTTCACCCGCCCTGAGATTCCTCTCTTAACCTGCTATATTGGAGAGTACTTCTGGCTTCTAACTGCCATTCACTCTCTACTCACCTTCATGGGACCTCTCCCTGCTTAACTTAACTTCCCCCTCATCCTCTCCCCTTTTCTGATCTCTACCTGTTCCCACCTAGATCTTCTGATCTTCTTCCCCCCACCCCTAGTTGTCCTCAACTTTGCAGTCACCTTCCAATCTAGCAACTTGACTCCTCCCAAGCCAATAGGCCTTCTCCATCTCTGGGAGTGCAAAAAGAGCCCTGGTCAGTGGCCCCAGGTCCCAGCACATTCCTCTGCCTCCAAACCACTGACTTATCCTAGGAATCTCAATCTAGTCTTTGATGTTTAGCAATCATGAATTACAGGGCTCCTCCCACAAGATCTTTGAAGGAAGCATCCCTAAAGAAAAATCCAAAGTGTCACCACCCAAGAGACACTGGCTTTCTCCAAGGAAAATCACTAGTATGGAGGAGAGAGACCTATGGTGTCATATTGGAGCCATCATGTGAGTGAACAAAAAAATCCAAAAAAAGCTCACAGCACAGTAAACAAGATGATCATAGACCATAGAATCAGAGACCTAGAGTTGGAACAGATGTTTGAGGTCATCTGGTCCAACTCACTCATTTTACAGAAGAGGAAATTGAGTTGTCCAATGTCATATAGGTAATAAAGATTTTTTAATAAGGATTTGAACCCAGGCACTCTGACTTCACAATCAGTACTCTTTCTACATTAGGGATCATCCTCACGCAAACCTCAGGCAGGGAAGAAACCTGAAGGCCAGAACTAGAAGAATGGAGCACACAACCAAAGCTTGGGCATGAAGAGGAAGGGGAAAATGAAAGGGAAATATGGTTATGGTTGAAGGAGTAGAACCCTGTGGTGGTAGTAAGAGGAGACTGTAGAAGGAAGGGAGGAGTAATCACAGCTAGAGGAGTAGAATGCTGGGGTGAAAGATGGGGAAGCCCAGTGAGCAGGGCCCTCACTTACTAGATTCTGGGGACCTGGATGATCCAGCGCATATTTGGGGAGTAGACCTTGTGATTAATGAACCACCTGGCCAGATTGAGCCATTCCAGGGGGGAGCGCCCATAGATGGAGAGGCGGGGTTCTGTATACTGGTATTTGCTCTCTTCCAGTTCCCGAGCCACTTCCTGTGCCCAAAAAGAGTTTCTGGGTCAATTCAAGAGCATTCTTAGCTTTCAGCAGCGTCTAGATGGGGCTAGGTGGATGGACTATGGTATCTATGTCATGGGATCCCTGACCTAAGAGGAACCTGAAGAGTTCATCTCATCCAACCCCCGGCCACCCAGCCATCTTAGGGGTGTTTTTGTTGTTCGATTGTTTCAGTCCTGCATGACTCTCTATGACCCCATTTGGGGTTTTCTTGGCAAAGATATTGGAGTGGTTTGCTACTTTCTTCTCCAGCTCATTTTAGAGATGAGGAAACTGAGGCAGAGTTAAGTGACTTGCCCAGGATCACCCAGCTAGTAAGTGTCTGAGGCCAGACTTGAACTCACAAAAATGAGTCTTCCTGGCTCTAGGCCCAGTGCTCTATACTGTACCACCTATCTCATCTATCTAAACTAAACTATTTATCTAAGTTTAGGTTTAGATTGGGTTAGATTCCCTTTCCCGTGCTGAAAAAAATCACCTAATATGGAGATTCCAAAAAAATCACCTAATACAGAGATTCCAAAGCTCCTTTAGCCATTTAATCCAACATGGGGAAGTTCTTTGTTAGAGCACACCTAAGTACTTCATGTAGTAGCTTAGCTCATCTGATCTCTTCTCAGCAATACTGCCCTAGGACTAAAGCTCCATCAAAAGCATCCCTGGGAGCCCCGAGCTGGGGCACAGCTGCAGCTTTGGGACTGGACACAGCAACCCCTGGGGATCAGAAGAGTCTCAGGCCCAACTACAAACTGCAGCCAGAAAGGTTATGAAGGGGACAGAGACCCAAACTGGGAGTCACCGAGTCTGTGATCTGGTTCCATACGTGCCATGACTGGATTCTTGTACCAGACTTGTTGTGTGATGTTGGGCAGGACCTATCATCTCTCTAAGCCTCAGTTTCCTTAGCTGTAAAATGAGGCATCTGAACTTGGTATCCTCCAGGGCTGCCTCCAGCTCTAAATCCTGTGCTGCTATGAGAAGGTTGGACTAGATGACTTGGAAGGTCTCTCCTGTCTCTGAGGCTCAGACTCTCGTCTGGGTTTCAATGGTGTCTGGTGATAACCTGGCACCACTCTTTTTTTCTTCATTGGGCTGGTAAACAGAATGTTGTTTGTCTGTTTTTGAAGAGAACCCTAGGCATCGTGAGGGTGATATCCTGACAGGTGTGAATTAGCTTGCCTGGCAAACAGAACAGAGATCACAAATGGAGCTATGATTGGTGTGGAGGGCATCTGGCAGCTGAAATCAGCCCATCTTCTCACCCCAGGCGAGGGAGAAGAGGTCTGGCCCATCTTCCAGATCCCAATCCTCTCCCACTCTAGTCTGCAACCATCGTGAGGGGGAAGGGCAGGTGGTAACAGAACAGGGAGGTTCCTGACCTTGACCATCCGTGCAAAGTATTCTCCACCTAAGTAGTTTTCAGTTTTCAAGTACAGATCTCGAAGCTCGCTGGCTCCCACTGGGTTGTACTTGGAATTGAATTTGTCAAACCTATGGAAGGTCTGCCGGCCCTGGAAAGAAGAGCCCCAGTGAGTGCACATCTGGATGCCCAAGAAGCCTCAGATTGAGGGTGGGGAAAGGGAGGGAGATGCCCTTTAAAAATAAAACCAAGAGGTCAGAGGAGCTTATTCCTTCCCTACCACTCCAGTGGGGCCAACTTTAAGCGTAGGAATCACAAGTCATATGAGATAGTGAATTACTATCACGCCAAGCCAATATGGGCCTCTCTGTAATTTCCACCACTTCTGCTGGCAGTACCCAGGCAGATCAGCTTACCGCGTGGACGTCCAGGGAGTCCACGGTGAGGTCGTAGGGATCCATGTGAAGACCGTCAAACACCTGCCTGAGCGTGATCTTCTTGCCCCTCTTTTCAGTGACAATCCTGTCGGGCTCCGTCTGGTATGTGTGCTTGATGAAACGTAGCAGGTGTTTCTGGTTCATGCAGGCCGCGGCATGGATGTGAGTGTCCACCTGAAGGCACAGCCCAACCCCACCCACCCATCAAGTTAGCAAGAGGCAGAATGTCTGAGGTGGAAGGAATCCTCTAAACCAGAGGGGCTCTCTCCTTCCTGTGGACAAACTCCCAGAGCATTTTGTCTGGAGCCTATACGTGTTCATGATCAGATTTCTCTTGTGCTATTTATGTGCATGTCATTTTCCCTAACCACTTTCTTTCTTTTCCCTTCCCTCTGCTTTCTTTCTCTTCCTTCCCCTTCCCTTCCTTTCCCTTTCCCCTTCTATCCCATTCCATCCTATCTTCTTTCTTCACATAATAAGTGAATAAGTAACAAGAAGTAATAAGTCAAATTATAGCTTCTGACTTTTAAGCATTGCCTTTTATCAGTTATTCACAGATACACCATGATACCTCTTCTCAAATGAACAAACAGCTTATTAATTCATGGTGACCCAGTTTGGTCTCTCCAATAAACCACCATCCCTTGGGTAGGATTCTTTGTAGCTCCTAGGGCCATTTTTCCAGGGAGGCCAAACAATGGAGAACACAGGACACAAGTGTATAAACTCCACCTGGTACTGATTCCCAGGAAACCTCTAGTAACCAGAGGTGAGCTGAACACCACTTCAATTAGTGATACATAGAGGATCATAAATCTGGAGGTGGAAGGATTCTCAGAGAGCACTGAGTCTGAAGTCAGAAGACCCGGGTTCAAATTCCAGCTCTGATTTTTGCTCCCTGTGTGATCTTGAACAGATCACTTCATCTGCTGAACCTCAGTTTCATCATCTGTAAAATGAGGGAATGACTCTCAATGGCCTTTGAAGGCCTTTCCAGCTCTAGACCTAAGATTCTAGGGTCACCATCCAATCCTCCTGTTATACAGATGAAAAAACTGAGGCTCAAGGGGAGCCCCCCACAGTCTCCAGGATCCTATCCAATCCCCAAGCTTGGGGTACTTGTTTAGTTAACAACCTTAAGCTGAGCAGGAGGGAGAAAACCTGGGAAGCCACATCTGGGACAAGACAGATGGGAAAAAATCAAGGGATCCAACTGTCCTCGACACAGTTGAAAGGGGCTCCTGGGATTACCCAGAAGGGGACAGAAGCCTCCACCTCACTTAGAAAGTAGGAGCTGCAACAAGTAGGGGCAAAAGCCAGGATAGACCACCATTCAGTCATGGGGACATTTAGTCGGTGCCATGTGTGAAGGAAGAGATAGTAAAAAAAATTTATTCTTTTTAAAATACTTCTTGATTGTGTTAGCTCCATTCATCCAAAGCACATCTATCTCATCTATCTGTACAACCAAATGAGAGAGGAGAGAGGTGGGGGCCCACACTATGATCTCCACTGAGTCTGCCAAATGGTGACTGCCCAAGGATGCGGTTGTTGAATTCTCCTGCCAGCCCTATACCCACAAACCTCCAGGAAAGGGCTCTTTTCCTTCTGCTAACAATTTGGGGTTACTCCCCAAATGCTTACTCCTTTTCTCCCTATTAAGGCACCATAGGAGGAGAGAGGCATTCCAGAAGGTCTATATAGTTGGTGCTTAATAAATGCTTGTTCATTGTTCAATGAGTCATAGGACCCAGACAACCCACTCAGGACCATCTTTCCTGAGTATATTTCAAACAACCCTACCTAGATGGAGATAACTTTTAAATGTCACATCTGGGGTGTGTGTGTGTGTGTGTGTGTGTGTGTTTATTTGATTTTTTTTTTGCTGCCTCCACTAGACTACAATTCTTTAATATTTTGATGACTCATAAGACCAGGGCTCTAGAGCTATAAGGGTCCTCCATGGCCCTCTGTCTAACCCCCTCATTTTTTTTACAAATAAGGAAATTAAAGGTTGAGTGATTTGTGCAAGCTCACATAGTAAGTGTAAGAGGCAAGATTTCAATCAAGTTCCCCTGAGTCTAGAGTTAGTGTTCTTTCCACTGAATTTTCTCATCAAATTAGGGTAATTTGTACTTATCTTGAGCATATCTCAGTACGTATATTGAACTACACCGACGGAATCCCTCTCTTAATAGGCAATTGCTATAATGAGCCTAAGCCTAGCTTCTGCCACCCCACGAAATCAAAGGTTACCCTGTAGCCCTAAGCTAGGTCAGTGAAAGCCTCCTTATATTCAGTTAGCATCTCTGGAGGAGAAAATTAATTCATGCTGTTAAAATATTCCTGTTAAAAAATTACTGTGTAGTTTGGCACATGATATTTCTCTATTTTATTTGATTTTCAGTTAAAAAAATTAAAGTCATCAAGCTAACCCCTTTTAAAGGCTTAAAATAGATCTCTTTGATAGATATGACATTTAAAAGTGACTTTCATTTGGATGGTGCTGGCTGAATAACTGGGTAATGGGGTAGAATATCCTTTATGCATAATGAAGCATCTCAAATGGATCTGTGATTTCATCCAGGAAGGCACTCCTTCCACCACTGCAGATCACAACCAATCTATGCCTTCTCAACCTGAGCTACTCTTCACCATGTCCTCTCATCAAAGGAGAGGAGCTGGTAATTCTATAAAAGCAAAAGTACGAAGACATACCATTTCCCATGTAGCCTTTCTCCATTAGGTACAGAGAGGATGTCTGTGTGTTTGAGTGTGTGTGTGTGTGTGTGTGTGTGTGTGTGTTAATGAGTATAATAAAAGCAGCCAGATGCCTTTATAACAGAAAACTAATCCCCTAAATCCATTCCTGCTAAATCTCCTTGATCACAAATATGAAAAACTGCAAAGAGCTTGGGCATGAGTCCTGTTTCCCACACAAGGTGTCCACTGTAGATACAAGAGGACACAAGGAAAGGCTGAACAAGGTAGAGTCCAGTCAATAAATTCACATATTACCTAATGTGCATTAAGAAGCACTAAAGCCCTGGCTGAATAAGTTGGCTAAGCCTTGACTCCAGGCTATCAATGGCCATTGATAAATAGACCTGGCTTTTGATGTTTCAGTTTCACATTTTTTTCATCTCCTATCCCAGTAGAGGTATCTCTTTAGCAGAACTGAAAAAGTGGAACTCTAGCTGAACGCTACTTCGGCCATTCCCATCTTAACTGAGCACTAATATGGGCACTCTTTAATGATGTAGGCATAAAGCTGTGCCCTAAATAATTTTTGGCTTTTATTAAAGAAGTAAACTGTGAGAGAAACAGTGGAGAACGAGGAGAGTCAGGAAAACCTGTGTTCAAATCCCACCTCTGACTGTGTGACACCTGACCTTTCAGTGCCTCTAGGCAACTCTAAGGTGACACATCTCTTCATTTCTGGAGGGTGTTTCCTCACTGGGAGCTCCCTCCATAAGTGAAATCACAATCCCTCTCAAAAAATAAGCAATACAATAAAGACCATTTATGAAATGGCTGGGCTTAGTTCGGTTCCTTAGCTATCAAATCAGCACATGTGTCTATGTGGAAAGTCATGTTGGGTGAGAAACATGGCACATAGGATCATAGCTATAAACCCCTGAAAGGGCACTTAGAGGCCATCTAATCCAATCTCTTCATTTTTCAAATGAGGAAACTAAGTCCCAAAGAGTTAAAGTGACTTGCCCAAGGTCACATAGATAGTGGGAGACCTTGGATTTGAACCCTAGTTTGACTCTTTGACTCTAAACTCAGTGCAAGTCCCTCCCAGGTTCTCACTCTATGATCCCATGACCACAGGTCACCATCTATGAAAGAGGTGTCCTTTGTAAACATAACCACAAAGTCCAGCCTCCGAGAAGAGGGAACTGCTCACCTCTCCAGGCAGCCCATTATATTTTGGGGAGCTCTAATTATTAGGATATTTTTCTTTTTCTTCTTTGCAAAGCAATCAAAGTTAAATGACTTGCCCACACAGCTAGTGAGTATCAGTGTCTGAGGCTGGATTTAAACTCAGGTCCTCCTGACTCCAGGGCCAATGCTCTGTCCACTGCACCACCTAGCTGCCCCTGGATATTTTTCTTGATATCAGGCTCAAATCTGCCTCTTTGCAAAGTCTATCCCTGTTTCTGCTTCTGCCTAATCCATCCACATGGTAGTCCTTCAAGTAACTAAAGTTGGCTTTTGTGTTCCCCCAAGACTTCTCAAGTCTCGACAATTCTAATTCTGAAACCTCTTTGTCATCCATCCCCTCCTATCCATTTCCTCTCCCACCACTATGGTTTGGAGTAGACATTCATGATTTCTTGCCAAACCTAGTATGGCATGTCCCAGATGGTTTCCTACCTCCAGTGTCTTTCCTTTCCAATTTATCCTATATAATTCTGCCAGATTAGTCTTAGCCTTTTTCTCACCTTGATCCAGATCTATGATTTCAGGAGTGTGGGGAATTCCAGGTATGGAAACTCCCTCCACTGGTGCAGAATGGCAATTTATCTGTAACTTATAGTCTGAGAGATCACTATATGTTAATGCCCAGCCTGGTGCACTAAGAAGGGACCTTCCCAAGGTCATGCAGCCAATATTATCAGAGGCAGTGACATGAACTCAGGTCTTCCTAATTCCAGGATGGGCATCCTATTCATTATGCCATGTGCTTCCTTAGAGTTGCAGAGCCATCAAATTTTAGGATTGGAAGACACTTGGAGAGGCAGACTATCCTAAAAAAAAAAGCATTATCTTAGAGGACCTGAGCTCAATCTAGCTTCTGTTTGTACCTGAGTAACCCTGTGATGGAAGGCGATAGGGCTACATTAAACTATCTTCCATTAATGGATGGACTCCCCATTTCACTTATCGTGGGCTAGTTTAACTTCCTAGGACCTCAGTTTCCTTTTCTGTAAAATGAGAGGGCTGGATTGGTTGGCCAGAGAGATGCCCTCCATCTCCACATCTATGATCAGCTAGCTCAGCCTCCTTGTTATAGATGGAGAAACTGAGACCTGGAAAGGGAAAGGGATTTACCAAAGGCCAAATAGCTTCTTGAAACACAGTTCTAGGGGCAGCTGGGTGGCGCAGTGGATAGAGCACTGGCCCTGGATTCAGGAGGACCTGAGTTCAAATCCCGCCTCAGACACATAACACGTACTAGCTGTGTGACCCTGGGCAAGTCACTTAACCCCATTGCCTAGCCAAAAAAACAAACCAAAAAAAAAAAATGAAACCCAGTTCTAATCATATCATCCTCTTGCTTAAAAACTGTCAATGACTTCTTATTCCCTCTTGAATAAAAGTCCAACCTCTTTATCCAGATATTCAAGGCCCACCATGATTTCTTTCCAATTTCCTTTTCTAATCATCTCCTATTACCACATTTGACATATCCTATGTTTCAGCCAAGTTGGACTTAGTCACCTCCTGAGAAGATAACTCATGCTTTCCCAGAACCTGACTGAGCCCCAGCTGTCTAATTCCTACTCATCCTTCAAGGCCCAACACCACCTCCTCCTCCATGAAGCCCACTCCAAACCCTTAGCAGAAAGTGATCTCTCCCTTCTCTGGACTCCCACAGCACTTGGCACTTTTCCTACTGAATATTCACATTCTACCTTGAAATGCCCTTATTTTATATATATTTTCCATCTCTCGCCTTACATGACTTTGTAACCCCAAAGTGAGCAAGGTCTGATTCTCATAATTCCTTGTATTCCAGGGGGCAGCTAGGTGGTGCAGTGGATAGAGCACCAGCCCTGAAATCAGGAGGACCTGAGTTCAAATTCGGCCTCAGACTAAACACTTGACACTTACTAGCTGTGTGACCCTGGGCAAGTCACTTAACCCCAATTGCCTAAAAATTAAAAAAAAATTAAAATTAAAAAATTAAAAAAAAAATTCCTTGTATTCCCCACAGTGATTATCAGAGAGCCTGACACAGAATGGGCTTCTTTTCTCTTTTTCCTTCTCATCTTTATCAATTATCTGATCAAGTTCCATCTCCCACTGTCTCCATCAGTCTTCAACCCAACACATGCCCGTTTTCATCATCCAAAATTGCTAGGACAGTTAGAAATTGGAGACATCCAGTGAACAAGGTTGTAGGCACTAGCCTAACACATCCTACCCACCCTGAAGACACACACACACACACACACACACACACACACACACATATACATACCCCCCCAAACACACACACTCCACTACCCTGTACTACCTTCCATTAATGGAGTGGGGACTCCTCATCCCATTTACCACGGGCCAGTCACTTACATTCTTTGATCTTCAGTCTCCTCATCTTTAAAAGGGGGATAACAGTGTTTGTGTTACTCATCTCATAGAGCTGGCATGAAGCTCAAGTGAACAGAGGCTTTAAATAAGTTTTAAATAAGGCTTTTGCAAGCTTTTAACCCATTATAAAACCGTCACTTCTTGTTGGTATTACCCATCCCATTTCTCTCAAGTGAGCCAGGGATTGTTCTGTTTGGGGCTGGTGGGACAGAGAAGAGGGAACTGTTAGCGATGATCCTACAAAATAGAAGCTGCTCCTTAGCTCAGAGAACTCAGGAGCCTGGCCCCATCGCACCAATATAACTGCTGTCTTCAAGGCCACCAATGGCATCCTGTCACCAGATCCAGAGCCCCTTGCAATTCTCATGATCACTGACCTTTCTGTTGTATGTGACACCACTGATTACACCTTCCCCACCTCTCCCCCCCAATATTCTCTTCTCCTTTGCCTCCCAGGATATCACACTCTCCAGGTTCTCCTCCTACCTCCTTTCTGTGTGCTCTCTTCTTTTCTCTTACCCAGTACTCTCTGCCTCCTTCAGACCTCCCCTATCTTCAGCTAACACCTCCATGTTGATAACTCCTAAAGTGAAATCTCCGGTCATGACTGCTCTCCCCAGTTATAGACTTACATCTCCAGCTATCTTTTGGACAGCTCCACCTGGAAGGATGGCAAGTCTGATGTTTCCCAGCCGCACAATCGGGGAAAGAACACTGGATTTGGACTGATTCGATCTGATTTTGAATTCTAGCTTGTATCCCTACTACTCAAGTGGCTTTGGACAAGTAATGTGACCTTTCTAGTCTCAGATTGCTCATCCTGAAAAGAGAGCATTGGGCTGGACAACGCCCAAGTCCAGTGATCCTAAGCATGAATTAATATTGCAAGCTTTAATGTGGTTTTGGGGGGAAGGGGTTAAAAATTGTAAAATACTACCCTTAGCTTTAAAATAAGCTCACCTTATTTCTTATAAATAATTAACAGGCCATTGAGGGGAACATAAGGAAGACAAAGTAGCAAAGGCATGTCATATTATGAACAGGCTCTGAGTATTGCCCCAATTAGTGGGTACCTGATTTCCTCATTCAGAGGAAGGTTCCTTTCTCTACTTCCTCTTTTCCCTTCTGTTACACAAGAATTTTCTCTACCCAACATCATCAGTGACTGGCCTCATACTTTGAGAGCCACAGGCTCATTACAGACCTAATGCTGCAAATGAGGAAGAATAAGGCAAGCTGTGGATACAAGCCCCAACAAGATATGAGTCTTGGGAAAGCCAGGAGTGACCCCATCACCCATCACCTCTCCATCAGCTCTCACCCAAGACTCACCTTTCTCACATTATAGAAGTCTCGATGAGGGTTACTCTTCAATTCTTTGAACTCAGACATTTCATTCAACATCTCATGTAGGCTGAATTTGGATTCCAAAAAGTTAAGTCGCCGGTGACAGTATGTTTTCCTGTAGAATAATATTAATAATAATAAATGATGATGATGATGATGATGCTAGGATCACAGATTCAGAACTACAAAGTACCTTAGAAACCATATTATATAATCCCTGCATTTTACCGATGAGGAAGAATATTAGTAGCAAAAATAATTTTAATGAAACATAGGGCTCATCATCCAGAGGCAATTATGGAAAAATTAGTATTACCTCATGGAAAGGGAGGCATCTAGGTGATGCAATGGATGACAGCCAGGCCTGGAATCGGGAAGACCTGAGTACAAATTCAGCCTCAGACTCTTACTAGCTGTGTAACCTTGGGCAAGCCACTTAATCTCTGTCTACCTCTGTTTCTTTACCTGTAAAATGGGGGAAAAATAGTGCCCAGCCACAACAAATATCAAATGAGATATTTGTTAAGTGCTTAGCACAGTGCCTGACACATAGTAGGTGCTTAATAAATGCTTGTTCCCTTCTCCCTCTTCTCATGCAGCATGATAAACAAGCTAAAAACTTATAGAAATGCTTCTGGGGAAAAAACAAATTCCCCCTCCCCCTTCACAGCACAACAGGAAAGGCTGAACGTGGGTACACTTGTTGAAGGCAACCAATTATTGGTTTGCCTACAGATGGGGCCTGTGAGATGACCGAGATTCTGGAGCAGAACAAAAGGCCTTCCGTGGGTGACATCCTCATAAACCCAACCAACAATCTGCTGACAAGGAAGTAGTTGGTCTAGCGGATAGGTCACCAGGCTGGGAGTCAGGAACACATGCATTCAAATCCAACCTCAGACACTTACTAGCTGAGTGACCCTGGGCAAGTCACTTGCCCCGTTTGCCTGTTTCCTCATCTATAAAATGGGAATAATGATAGCACCTACCTCCCAGGGTGGTTGTGAGGATCAAATAAGATAATAATTATATACCACTTAGCACAGTGTCTGGCACATAGTAAGAACTCTGTAAATGTTAGCTATTATATTATAGTAATGGCTGATGGGTTGACAGAAATGGAAAGTCTTAGAAAGCAATATAAGACCAGATCATTATGACCAGAAATTACAGAAACTTTATCATTAAGGAGCCTACACTTATTCACTCAAGTAGACTTTGTAAGCAAAGAGTAGAAACTGGGCTGTATATCGCTACAGTTTCCAAAAATTGAGCATCTACCAAATACGTAGAAAGATATGGTCAAGTGGCCAGAATTATCCAGCAGAAGCTAATCATCTTCATAAATTAGCAGATGTGACAGCTCCTCATACTACAAACACAGTCTTGGAAATATCCCTGAGAACACAATATAGAAGCTCTACTGGAATTTGAAAATTGTCACAAGCCACAACTGTTGCCCACAGCTGTCTGGACGTAACACTGATCTGTAAAAATTCAAGAATGGCATTTTTAATGGAGATCACCATACTGAAGAATCATAACCTCTCAACTACATGGAGACTGATTTACAACATGGAATGAACAGCTCTCAACATATAGAGATCTAGTAGAAGGAATTAAAACGAGGTAGGGACAGGATAAGGTCCCCATAATCCTCATCACCCTTTCTGCTACTTAAGTCCCCAAAATGCTTTCACTGAGTCTAGAGAAGTATTACACTTCAACATTTTGTTTAATTAAAAAAGCAATTATTTTATCCATCTAGGTAATAACCTGCCAAATGTTAAACAAAAAAGAATAAAAGTGGGATGGTGACCTGTTTCTTTCTCAACTCAATCAAATATAAGATGAGAACAATAATAGGGCTAAGAATTTGATTTGTGATTTCATTAGTGTAGGGAATTCTCCCTCTACTAATGCATATCCAGACATTCTCTGCAACTTAGAATCTTAAACGTTTGTCGAGAGCACTAAATTAGTTAACTAAACTAACTAGAGGCTAAATGACTTGCCCAGAATCTCATAGCCAGTACATATCAGAGACAAGACTTGGACCCAGGTCCTCCTGGCTTACCCACTATGCCATGTTGTTTCACAAGAATCATAACAAAACCAATAGCAACATACGTTGGACCGTCTGTAATGAGGGCCAGGATGTGACTGAGGTCCACCGTGTAGGTCTCCAGGTCAGGGTATGGCAGGCTTCTGGGCTCATTGCGTTTCAGCATCTCTTCATTGTCATACACAAAGAGGATACCACCCTGCATCCTGAGCACGTAGCCCAGGTTTGGGGGCATGCTGTCCAGACAATAGGGATTTTCATGTGGCTCTGGGGGTGGGTGGAAATCTGTAAAACAGAACTGAGGTCATGGAAAGGCATAAAAAAAGTATGTAGGCATTGAGTCACCAGGCATGATGCTCCCAAAGATCAGGTATTAGATTCCTCTGTCCCATGCCCATCTAGATTCAATCTTCCAAGCCTAGACACTAACTGACTATCATCTCAGGCTACCCTACTGAGAATCAAATATGTAAAAGTCCCATTTGTGGTGCCCATGTGGTGGGCATGAAAGCATAGTGAAAAGAACAACAGAAATGCAGTCATGAGACCTGGGTTTGAGTCTTACCCCTCTCATTTACTAACTGGTTTCATTCATTCATTCACTCCATTCATTCATTCATTCATTCACTCCATTCATTCATTCATTCATTCATTCATTCAACAAGCATTTATTAAACATCTACTATGTTTCAGAATAGATGCTGGGGATACAAAGCCAAAATCATAAGAGTCCTTATCCTCAAAAATACAATATTCCTTGTCTTCAAGGGTAAGGAATTTTTTTTAATTTTTATATATTTTTATATTTATATTCCATTGAAGGAACAACATGGAACACAGGTAAGTAAATATAAGGTATATGCAAAATAAATAGAAAGGAACTGGGTGGAGAATGAAGACTAGTGACTGAAGACAACAGGAGAGACCTCATGTAATACCACTTTGGCAGAGGTTAGACAGAATTCCCTGAAGTGGAGGAAAGGAGGGAGAACTTTCTAAGCATGGCGAAGGGAGGCACACCTGTGTAAAGGCACAAAAACAGTGGTTTTGGGCCAGTTCCTTCACTTCTCAAGGCCTCAGTTTCCTCATTTCTAAGTAAACAATTGCCCTACCTTTCCCAATTTAATGTATTTTAACATGAATTTAGTAAGCACTAACTGTGTACAACATGTCACATAACTTGAGATTAGAAAAAGAAACTTAGAACTGAGTCCTGCTGGTTATGAGCCAGAAACGTTCCCTTCAAACGGGAAGGCAGGGGGGACATCACTGCTGGCCTGCAAAAGATATCAGAAACCAGATCTAAAGTGGTGCTGCTATCCCTCTGTTCTTTTTTCCAAAGAAAAAGAACCAAGGCAAATGGGGCGGGGGGAGAATTACTGGGAGGCAAATCTCACCTCAATATATAAGAAATTCCCCCAGATTAGATCATAGAATCATAAATCTAGAGCTGGGGAGACCTGAGGTCACCTAGCCCAGTCCCCTTTTTGACAGATAAAGGGGTGACTTGAGAATCATCATAGGTAGCAAGAGGAGAAGCAAAGGTCTGAAGGTGGAACCCAGAATTCTTTCCTCTGCCCAAGAATGGAAGAGGCTGCCCTTACAAGTGGTGAGCTCCCCATCACCAGAAATGGGTAAGCAGAGAGTGCGTGACCACTTTTCAAGGATGCTGGAGAAGGGACCCCCTTTTCTGAGTAGGGGGTGAAACTCAATGACCTAAGAGGATCCTTCCAAGTCTGAGACTCTAGAATATATAATGTAATATAATGTAATATAATGTAATATAATATAATATAATATAATATAATATGATATGATATGATATGATATGATATGATATGATATGATATGATATGATATGATATGATATGATATAATATATATAATATAATCAATTCTATTCTGAAGAATAGACCAGAGTCACTACATTGCAAAACAAGCCAATAGATGGCAGCTTAAGGACTCCATGGAGAGGGATGGCTTCCAATATTAACAATATTAGCTAGCATTTATATAGTGCCTGCTATGTGCCAGGCACTGTGCTAAATGCTTTACAAGTATTATTTCCTTTGAATCCTCACAACAACCCTGGGAGGGAGGTGCTAGTATTATCGCCCTTTTATAGATGAGGAAACTGAGGCAAACAGAAGTTAAGTGACTTACCCAGGGTCACATATCTATTCAGTGTCTGAGGAGAGATTTGAACTCAGGTCTTCCTGACTCTGAGTCTGGCACTGTATCCACCATGCCACCCGCCTGCCTCTAGGACAAAGAATCCTAACCATTTTTTGTGGCAGGCTGGTGAAGCCTATAGATCCCTTCTCAGAATGATGCTTTTAAATGCATTAAATGAAATACATAGAATTACAAAGGAAACTAAAGGGTTAGTGAAAATAGAGATGCAGGGGGCAGCTAAGTGGTACGGTGTATAGAGCACCCTGGAGTTAGGAGGATATGAGTTCAAATCCAGCCTCAGATACTTGGCACTATTTGTGTGACCCTAGGCAAGTCACTTAACACCAATTGCCTCACCGAAAAAAGAAAAAAGAAAATACAGATGTAGGGTTGTTTCCCCCCACCCCCAAACCCATCCAAGTTCATAGAATCCCTGACACAAGGGCAGAGACTAGGTTTTATAAGGCTGCATATCCTAATACTGAACCCAGAACAGGGCTAGCCATATCCTAGCCACAGAACCCTCAGGGTCCATGGACTCCCTGTTAGGAATCCTTGCTCTGGGATGACCTCTTGACTCTGGCTAATGGTGGCCTGTGAATGATTCTTAGGTTCTCAGAAGAAAAGGCCCCTTGATACCAAGCCTAAACCAATTCACTTCATGCATCATCCTTCTAGGGCAGGTTCACCACCCCTGTGACTGAGGCCTCCCTGAATCCCATCACCTCCTCTCAGCACATTCTGGCATTTCTCGGTCAACGGGCGCACATTCCATAAGCATACCTGGGTTTAATATCCTTCCAAAAAGCACAACATGCTTCTGGTGTGTTATTGAATTAATCTTTCCAACATTCCTGAACAGAACCAAGTGGGTCATTCCTTACAGGAAAACAAAAGCCTGAGGACCCAGGTTCAAATACTACCTCTCTTACTCCCTCCCTAGAATAATAAGCTAGACCTATGACCCTCTGCTGCCTTTGGCCGGTTCCCCAAATCTCTGAGACTCAGTTTCCTCATCTGTAATCTGTAGACTAGATCAGGGGTGGGGAATCTGCGGCCTCGAGGTCACTTGTGAAAGAAAGAAAGTTTGGATTCAGTCACAGGGCCATACTTGAGGACCTAGAGGGCCACATGTGGCCTAGAGGCCACCAGTTCCCCAACCCTGGACTAGATGGTCCCTAAAATCCCTTCCAGGTCTAATTCTACGATCCTCAGGCAGGCACCGAGCTTCAGGACTAAAACCTAGGTCTCCTGCTCCTCCCTTCACTAGTTTTCATGAGCTACCACTCAAGGTAAACAGCCTATGGATAGGTAAAGAGGCTGAGCCCCAGGACATCATGCTCCTGCACAGACCCACGCCAACAGCGTGCAGCTGGGCAGAACCAAACGGCTTCCTGAATCCTGCCTGGGGAAGCTGGCACAGAGCTGCCTGCCACCAGGCACCACACCGTTACACTGGGCATGAGTTCAACCAGCCCATAAAAGAGCTTTTAAGAGAGATGCTTTAGGAAAGACTTGCTCTTGCCCCCATTTTTCCATTTAAGTTATTTAGTCTCAAGTCTCTAATTGGCATGCTGGGATCATCAAAGAGGTAACTCAATACCTCCCCCAGAGAGCCTTCCCTGTCCACCCAGCTCACACCCATCCGTCTTTTCTGGCCCCTGAGAGCCAAAGAGAGGCGCCAATGGGCTCATTTCTGTGCTCATTTGGAAACTTAATCATCTACTGTCTTTTATTTTTATTTAAATGTTTCCTAAGTGGAAGTTGTGGCTCCCAAGCAGTGAGTCCACCCAGAGCAAAGACTAGGTAGGTTTTATAAGGCTCCATATCCTAACACTGAACCCAGAACAGGACTTAGCCACATCCTAGACACTCAATAAATATTTGTTGAGTAAACAACAATACAAGGATCTAAGATAACTCCAAAAGCTTCACAATGGAAAAAGCTATCCACATCCAGAGAAAGAAATATGCAGTCTGAATGCACATTGAAGCATACTATTTGCTCTCTTTTTTTGTTGTTTTGTTTCCTCCTTCTTGTGGTTCCTCCCATTGATTCTAATTCTTCTTTACAACATGACTAATATGAAAATATGTTTAACAGGAATGTATATGTAGCGCCTACATCAGATTGCACGCCATCTTGGGGAAGGGAAGGAGAGAGGGAGAGAAAATTTAAAACTCAAAAGCTTATGGAAATGAATGTTGAAAACTAAAATTAGGGGCTGCTAGGTGGCAAGGTGGATAGAGCACCAGCCCTGGAGTCAGGAGGACCTGAATTCAAATCCAGCCTCAGACACTTGATACCTACCCACTAGCTGTGTGACCCTGGGCAAGTCATTTAACCCCATTGCCTAGCCCCCCCCCAAAAAGAAACTAAAAATAAATTAATTAATTTTAAAAAAAAAGAAGGGAAGGGAAAGAAGAAGCAAAGGGAAGAGAAATGTTGAAGAAGAATGTTGTTTAACACTATAACAAATATTCATATTAAGCAAAACAAATTCCCACTCTGACCATATTAAAAAAAAAAATACTTGCTGAGTAAATTGAAATTCAGAAGCTACAACAGGTAACTTGGTACAGTGGAAAGGGCACTGTCTCTAGAGTCATGGGACCTGAGCTCTAACCAGCTACCTCCTTACAAATCTCTTAATCTCTCAAGGTCTCGGTTTCTGCATCAATAGAATGAAGAAGGTTGGACCCGATGACCCCCAAGGTCCATTCCAGATCTAGGAGTCCCATAGGGAAATATTATTCAAGGGAACTGACTCTGGCTGGTGAAAGGGTCTCACAAAGTCAGCTGATGAGTGCTAAAACCTTCTTAGCTTCCCTTCAAATAGCCTATGCTCTGACCTCACTTGTCTACTCACCATTCCTCTTACACATCCTGCTCTTTCCTACCTCTGGGCATTTGCCAATGCTGCCTGAATGCCTGGAATGCCTCCTCTCTCCCTTCAGGGAGGTGGCACAGCATGTAGAGTGATGGGCCTGAAATCAGGAAGACCTGAGTTCAAATTTGACCTCAGATACTAACTATTCAACCCTGAGCAAGTCACTGAACCTCTGTTTGCCTGCTTCCTCAACTGTAAAATGGGGATAATAACATCACTTGTAAGATAATATTTGTAAAGCTCTTGGCTTAGGGCCTGGCACACATTATCTTCATTCTTGAAGAGGGCCAATGACCTCAGGAGAGTGATGTCTTGATTTGCAAGTGAACTGGATTTAAGTGAGGCAGAGCTGAACAGAGTCACTAGAGTCCAGTGGCAAGACACAGGTGAAGATGACTGGTGATGGCCCCAGATGCAATGGGAGACCTTGGTCAACTCTCATTCAATGATTAAAAGCTAAGCACATAGTAGGTGCTATATAAATGCTTATCCCCTTCTCCTTCCCTTCACCCATCTTTCAAGGCTCAGGCTCAGATGCCATCTTTCCCGTGAAACCTGCTCTGTTACCCTCAGCTGCAAAGTTCTCTGCTTCCTCTGATCTCTCCTAGCATCTGGGCTGCACTTGTATTCTGGTACAACAAGAGTTATTGTATAGTAGTAACATTATATATTATATTATTATTACAGCTAGATTTAGTTTTGCAAAGCACCTTATGTGTCACCTCATTTGATCCTGATGACAATCCTGAGGTAAGTGTTATTATTCTCATTTTACAGATAAGGAAACTGAGGTTAAATACTTTTCCCAAGGTCACACAGTTAATAGGTTTCTGAGGCAGGATTTGAACTCAGGTGTTCCCAATTTTAAGCCCAGCACCGACTACACCACCTTGCTATCTACTGGTATGTATTACAGCTATCTGTACACATCTTTTATCATATATCCCCCACTAAATTCTAAGTTCCCTGAGGGCGGATGTGGCTGTTGAGTCCTTTTCAATCCTGTCTGACTCTTTGTGACTCCATTTGGGATTTTCTTGGCAGAGATACTAGGGTGGTTTACCATTTCCTTCTTCAACACATTTTACAGATGAGGAAACTGAGGCAAAGAGGGTTAAGTGACTTGCTCAGAGTCACACAGTTAGTAAGTATCTGAGGCCAGATTTGAAGTCAGGAAGCTGAATCTTCTTAACTACAGACCTGGCACTCTATCCACTGCGCCTCCTCACTGCCTGAGGGCAGATACCATGTCTTATTCATCTTTGTATCTCCTGCAATTCCCAGCACACATAAAAAGTGTTTAATAAATGCTGAATTGATCTTCTGGAAGTAGCTCTGGGAGTAGCAGGATCCCTCCCTCCCTCCCAACACAGCCAATCATACCTGGAAATACCTCATCCCCAGGGCCCCACTTCTCAGCCCTCTGAGGGCACAGGTACTGGGCAGTGGTCCTTGGGAAACGGTGGTAGGCAAGCCTCGAATACTTCTCCCGAATCATCAGGGCCTTGGCCAGGCTCTTGGCAGCCTGCTCGTAATCCTCTACAGTGATCTACAGGGAGGTAGCAGAGAGTGAGGGCATTATGGCAAAAAGGAATGGCAGGACCTTTCAGGTAGGTCCCTCAGGAAGGGAGGAGGTGGCATCTCTGGAGTCGGGCACCAAGGTGGGAGCTGCAGAGATGCCTTTAGGATAGCACTGGGATCACATTGGAAAATGGTCATCCTAACACCAGGGTAAAGACCAGCAGTGCAGCGGGAAAGCCTGTTAAAGGAGACTGTGGCAAGGGGACAGGGCATGCATGTGGATGTGGACGTAGACATAGATGGTGCTACATGAAACACAGAGGGAGCCCACCCAGCCCCAGAGGGATCCCTATCATTTCCCCCTACCCATAATCCTTCAGTCCAAAGGACCATTTCCTTGTGGTTTGCGGGTTGGGGAGGGGAATGAGCTTCTGGATTTCAGCCACCTGAGTGACCTTTACCAAGGTGAGAAGTGACATGGTGTAATGGTTAGAGTCCAGGATTTGGCATCGGGAGACCTGGACTGGAATTCTGCCTCAGACATTGACTAGCTGTGTGACCATGGACAAGTCACTTAACTTCTCTGAGATCCCATTACCTCAGCCGTAGGATGGGGCTCATAATGACCACACTAAAAATCTTGCAGTGATATTGTAGACAAAGCCAAGCTATTATAATCTCACTGCTTTTTCCTGCTGCCCAGGTGACACCAGAAGGGAAGAGGAAGCCCCAGAGATTCCTTTCTTAGGCATGAAAGTGCCACCTTGCTGTTTTGCAAATGAGCAACCACAAAACAACGCCCTACATCTGTCGTCCATCAGCCTTGAAACTATATTTCTTTCCCTCTAGCCCATGCCACCCTTATCTTCTGCCTGAAGGATGCTCCCTCTGTACTAAGGAGCACAGGACTGAATTCTCAGGGGCCTCTCAGGGAATTCTCAAATCAGTTAACAATGGGGAAGCCTCAGGCCTGTAAAGCATGTATTCTTTCTTCAAGAAGGGAACCAGGAAGTACTAGATATGCAAGCATCAGATACCATTTTAAAAATATACACAATTCTTTATATTTTAACATGCAGAAAATGCCTAGAGAATCATTGATAACTCAACAGTTCGCCTATTGTTAGGCCATGCACTTGTTTAGAACAAAGATCACAAACAATATTTCATCAAACAAAAAAAAAATGGTACAGTTAAGGCTACTCAAACCTGAGTTACATAAGTGAACTGTTAATGCAAATAAATAAATAATAGGAAAGGGCTAAAAGAACAGATATTGACACAACCTCTCAACCAAAGGTTCTTGCCATGTCTAGGAAGACTATCCAATGGAGAGTCCAAATAGACTAGAGATTTCCTACAGATGGTGAGGTCTCCTAAGTGCTCCTTTTTGTGGGTGACATTGGGCAGAATGCCTCAAGCTCCAGACTCCTCAAATCCATAATCACTAAAAAGAGTTTGAGCTAATTATCCCACAGGAAAAATCAAGTAGATGAAGGATGTCTATTATACAGCCTACAAAACGCAGCTAAGTGGACAGGAACATAGAGCTAATAGTCATGTATGCATATACATAATGTACTGGGTGTGTGTGTGTGTGTAGATAGATAGCCATATACCAATATATACATCCATATTCATATATACATATATTAATGTCAGTCGACAAGCATTTATTAAATGCCCACACTGTACCAAGCACTGGGATACAAAATGAAACAGAGGACAGTCCCTGCCCTCCAGGAGCTCACAGTCTAATGGGAGAGACAACAAAATATATTTATATACACACACAAACAAGCTATATAAAAAATAAATAGGAGACAATTAAAAGAGAGAAGGCAGTAGAATTAAAAGACCTCGGAAATGCTTCATATAGAAGTTGGGACTTTAGTTGAGGCTTGAAGGTAGCCGGGGGGCGGAGATGAGGAAAGCATTCTAGGCATGGAGAAGTATATATAGACACATATATGTATATGATAACACAATATATATGAGCACGTGTATATATGTACACACAGAATATGCATGTGTACACGTACATACATGTATGTGTATTATATGCTTATATCTTGCACAGACCTTTCAGATGGACAATTAATTGGCATGTAAAATTTGCCTAACACAGAGACATTAATTAGGCAAGTAACTGGAAGCAACAGAGCAGGTTAGATCGCCTTTGGAAAATCGGGCAGTGTTCTCAACTATCCCAAGCTTCTCCCTGAAATAAAGACCCATTTTCTTTTTAAAACATCAGTATTCTTCTGAGGATGCTTCCCGCCTGCAAATCACAGAACACCACAGTCTCTGAGGAATTCAAATTGTGGGTTGGCCAAGAGGCAATGGAGAGATGCATGGTGGGGATGCGTAAGCTGCAACATATTCTCAATAAAGAATTGTGCAGAAATGGCCTGAAGGATATCCCCAGAAGAGCCAATAAGTGGAAATGGAGGTGGGCTTGTTACGGAGCAAGAGATAATTAGCAGATGGCCCCCGGGCTTCTGCTCCTGCTTGTTATCCACACAAAGTCAAGAGGAAGGCACCCAGGGTCATAGGTGGATTTGCTGTAGAGGATATATAAATGACTCCAGACAATAGCTCCACAGGATGAGAAGGCATGAATGTACTTGCAGGCTGTACAATTGGAGGGGGTACACAGTGATGAAATCATGTCTGTAGAGGTGTCAGCGAATAAACATGAAGTCTTACATTTGGATCCAAAAATCCGCTGTGTAAAGTATGGGCTGGCTAGCTGGCCGGTTACATGAAAAGGACCTGGTGGTGTTAGTAGGCTACAAGCTCCTTTTGAGCCAACAGGATGAAACAGAGGCCAAAAACTCCAAAGGGAAGGACCTCCCCTGGCACTAGCAGGCAGCCATAGGCTCAGGCCTGCTCTTTGGAGGGCCAAATGAGGCAAGAATGCATCTCTGACTGGAATGAAGGCTGAGGTTTGGAGTCAGAGCCAGTAGCCATTAGCAGCCTTAATGAACAGTGCTGTCTCCAAGCTGCTCAGTAGTGCCAGGAACAACAACTCGAGGATGCCAAGTGAGCCCACCACACTCAGCATCCCAGATAATAGTCTGAGCTCTCACAGTCCCAAGCACAGCTGAGCTAGAGGAAACACTATGTTCTCTGGAGAGACAGCCACCGGGGTCCAGGCCAAGGATCCTTATATCCCTACCACATCCTGGCTCAGACATTCCCACGTTGCCTCTGGGACACCTCAATTCCAATGAAAAAAATGTCAACAGGTCTTCTGTCATGTTGCTGTCCTTCAAACCCTGTCTACCTATCTATCCTCTCCTTTCCCTGATACCTTTTTCTGCTAAGGCAGAATCAAGCAGTCAAAGAAAGAATCAGGACCTCAGGAGGAAGCCAGATGTGGCTACCTGTGGCAATAAGGGGCCACACCATGAGCCCGGGGCAACGTGATGTGGCTCTGACCTGATGATGATGTATACTTTTAATAGACAAGTCTTCATACAATTAAGACATTGCCCAATCACTTGAAATGAGCACATTTAGGATGACTAAGCTAAGTGGCAAGTCAAGGGGACAACTCAGCCCATTAACTTTCTCCCGAGATACTGTCTGTCATTCTGCCTAACTAATATGTCTATATGTTAGGCAAATTGTATATGCCAAGATTTAGCACTGGGCATACCAGAATTCCTGAGTCTGAATGTCCAGGTGCTGGACTTCCTAGTGGGAGAAGATTTCCTCAGCATTTTGCTCCTTGGAGTAGAAAGAAGTCAATCAACAAAGGATCACTCACCCTTGGAGGTTGCCTTGTAGATAATCTTGAGCTCTGGATAGCCAATGTCTAGAGTTTCCAAGAGATCAGGAGTTCCTGATTCAAGCATCCAGGAACCTAGCTTGCTGGAGGGAGAGGTTTTCTTCAGCAGCATGTTTCATGGAAGAAGAAAAGGACCAACGGTGGAGGAGAGTCCAGTAGCTGGCAGACTGATGTCATCAAGGGAGTGAATGGGGGTGAAGAGAGGCAAGAGCTATGGAGCTCGCCATCCTTGCTACTGACATGAGTTGCTCATCTGAGATGAGTAAGGAGTATTCGTTCAATAGCCCCCCCCCCCAAAAAAAAGTCCCCCTTTCAGATAAGACTAAGAGACTAAGAATTTATTTGGTTCACAGATTCCTATGAATTTTTTTTTCGGGCAGTGGATAGAGTGCTGGACCTGGGGTCAAGAAGATGTGAGTTCAAATTCAACCTCAGACAACATTTATTAGACGTATGACCCTGAGCAATGAACCTCTGTGTGCCTCAATTTCTCGACTGTAAAATGGGGATAATAACAGCTCCTACCTCTCCGAGCTGTTATGAGGATCAAATAGGTAATATTTGCTTGGCACAGTGCCTGGAAGAGTATGTACTACATAATGCTTATTCCTTTCCCTTTTGTGTCTTATACATTATCAGTGGTAGAGGAAAGAAAGGCTATCCTCTATACGTATATTATATACTAAGTAGTGTGTGAGAGTCAGAGATTCATTATGGGCACTTCAAGTAAACCTCGACATGGGCAATTATTTCCCAGAGAAAAACTCTGAAAGGGGAGAGTGAACAAAGAAGAAATAATGATCTCTCTGGGGTCCCGATTATGCCCAGTCTACATCATTCCAGTGTCCTTGGGGTGGACCCTTAGGAGCCAGAGGAGATTTTTTTTTTTACATCACTGTCTCTTCCCAATGACTTTCACACCCCAGTCCCACCGAGAGATCCGTCCCTTATATCAAAAATAAGCATAGTTGAGGAGAACAAATCAATCCGTGGATCGTGTCTGGAAAGGTACAGCCCAGTCTTGCCCTCAGGCCACCACCTTCCTGCTGAGAAGCAGAAACCTCTGAAGCCACTGCTGGTCGCTGCATTGATCCCAGGTCTGAAGGCTGTCAGTAAAGTTTTCTTTTATGTTGTCAGGTGAGCATTTCTTGTGCTGCTCCCCCAGCCCTGATGACTTCCCAGGCTGTCAGCCTCACCTTGGTGTACATGACTTGTCTTCACACACCCCACAT